CTCAACGCGCGTCCTCCCTAACATCGACTACGGTCGCTCTTATACTTCCACGTCCACTGCTGCTGGCACACGCCAGCCTCGCCTAACCCTCACGACCCGTGGGCCAATTCTTCTCAGGCGAGCACCGCATTGCTTGTCTGAGCGAGGTTGTGCTGCACATAGCTTCACAGCTAGCCTGCCCTCCCAGTTTGCTCTATTCAACACCAGCAAACCGCTTCCCAGCTAGATAAATTCCGAGCCCGTGCCAATCGTACAGTAAAAGAAATGGTCGCTACCGAGATCCCGCAGCACTACACTGCCTCGCCTTCGTCGCACATTGGCACCCCTCACTTGACCATCAACAAGGAGGCCACCATCGACCTCGATTCCACAAACTCGTTCGAAGGTCCCGAGAAGCTCCTCGAAGTATGGTTCAGCCCCTCTGCTACTGAGCTGCCTGGTCAGGCCGGCCCTCTCGGCCTGAAGAAGGTGTCAGCCGAAGTATGGAAGGACATGCTCGATCTGGTCAACTGCAAGGTTCTCTCCGTTATTGAATCCGAGCATGTCGATGCCTATCTTCTCTCTGAGTCGAGCATGTTTGTCTTCCCCCACAAGGTCGTACTCAAGACCTGCGGCACTACGACTCTGCTCTGGGGCTTGACCCGCATGCTGGAAATCGCTGCCAACGCTGGCTTTCCGTATGTCGCCCCCAAGGCATCGGGCGTCGCTCCAGCTGCCACGCCATACCGCGTTTTCTACAGCAGGAAGAACTTCCTCTACCCCGACCAGCAGCGCGGCCCCCACCGTAGCTGGCGCGATGAAGTCCGCTACCTTGACGACCGCTTCAAAGGCGGCAGCGCCTACATGATTGGCAAGATGAACGGCGAGCACTGGTATCTCTACATCACAGGCCCCGACACCAGCCTCACTCCTCCTCCCAGCCCAGGTGAGGAGAGGTCGGAGCCAGACACTGAGACTAAATTTGTGAGCCACCCTCAGCGCCTCTTGCGCGAGCAGGCCACCGATGAGGAGGAGGATGAGACTCTGGAGGTTCTGATGACCGACCTCGACGAGAAGAACGCCCGTCAGTTCTATCTAGAGGACGCAAGTGCGGTTGCGGAAGGTCGCTACCTCCAGAGAGTCCGTGAGGCTCGTAAAAACGCTATCCAATCCCTGGGTACCATTTCGGAAGAGAATGGCCACACTGAGAGTCTGGGTGGCTCTACTGTCCTCAACTCGGCTGCCAACACACACACCTCGGATGATAGCTTCGACGTCTTCGAGCAGACATCTTCTGACCATTCTGGCTTCAGCTCGGACGAGGAGCTTACCTTCCCTGAGGAGCTGACTACCGAAGGTCACACACTTGGTACGGTCGTTTCCGAGCACTGCGGTCTAGCCGACGTCTATCCTACCACCAAGTATCCCGATGCCCGTATCGACGCTTATCTCTTCACGCCATGCGGCTTCTCTGCCAATGGTGTCGTCCCTGCTCCTGGAGGTGCTCCTAATGGCTCCAAGAAGGGCTCTGACGCTACGCATTACTTCACTGTGCATGTCACTCCTGAGCCTCAATGCTCTTACGCTTCCTTTGAGACCAACGTGCCTGCTCGCCAGAGTGGCCGCGAGACTGCCGACATTGTCGAGCATGTTGTTGGAATTTTCAAGCCCGGCAGGTTCAGCGTCACTCTTTTCGAGGCCAAGCCCACTGCTGATGAGCTGCCCTTGAAGAACGCCGACAAGGGCAAGAGAATGGAGGTGATTCCCGGCTACCGCCGTGTTGATCGCATTGTTCACGACTTGGATGGATACGATCTTGTCTTCCGGTACTACGAGAGGGATGACTGGAAGGGAGGCAAGCCCAGGCTCGGAGAGGAATTTTAAGTGGTGTTGCTGAGGGGGATGTTGATATTGAGTAAGCTGGAAAAATTAATATGTATACTGGGGGACAGTCATTACAGTGTCTTGCAATCGTTTCGTAGTTATTCTCACCAATTCCACTCACTTTTTTTCTTAAACATTTGTGTTCACATGGTCTTTCAATGGTAGGTATAGGCGGTATAGGCGGTATAGGCATATTACATACTACTGATAAGAGTCTGTCGTGAACACAAAGCACACAGTGCAGCTTTTTTCCTTTACTAATGTTCGAAATTCCAAACTCTACATACCGTCCCTAAACCTACAGTTGTAGTTCATGAGAACTTCTTCTCGACCCCAAGATCTACACTTTACTTCTCTCCCCCCCCTCCTGCATCTTACACTATCATTTCCATACATGTATATCCACTGGACCGTCTTGCTTCTTACTAGTAGTGTGGGATACACAATATTAAGCAGAAGTAATACACACACATTCACTATTCCACCACTGCACGTACACGTGTATCCAGTGTCCCCTGTAGTCTGAGCCAGACATTACATGTCACCACACAAAAAAACATCCCAAGTACATCATACGAGCAGTCAAGCATATGAATTCTATGTTACACTATCATACACCTCCTCCCTCTTCCTTTCCCTTATCCTCCCCCTTCCCCTTCCCCTCCAACTTCCCCAGCACCTCCCTAACCTTCCTCGCCGCCTCCCTCGCCTCTCGCCTCTCCCTCACATCCTCCTCTTCAGGCACTTCCTTCTTCTCTGTATTCTCAATAATAAACCTAACGCTTTCCTCCGTACTCTTAAGCGTGCGTCTCCCTTCCTCCCGGATAGTAGCTGCCCACGATTCACGTGCGCCTTCCCACACTTTCTGAGTGCGGCGCAGCGAAAAGGTGAGGCCGAGGGCAGCGACGGCGGAGGCTTCGAAGACGGAGAAGGAAGAGATGGAGAGGTAGAGGAGGGCGGAGGCAGCGGTGGAGAGGGAGGTTGTGGTGAAGGTTTGGAGGAGGAGGCGTTGGGCGAGGGATTGGAGATGGGGGATGGTGTCGGTGATGAGGGAGGTGCGGGCGGTGGAGATTTGGGCGTGCCAGGGGGTGGGTTTACGGACCGTGGTTGAGAGGTCTAGTCGTTGGTTTTCTGCTGTGGGCGCGGTGTCGACTGTTGTGGCCTCGGGGATGCTGGAGGCAATGGGACGTTGGATCTCGTCGGGGTACCCGGCTTGATTCATGCGACCGGCGAGATAGACACTGTTTTTCTCTGCAGAGACAAGCCAGCGTCGTTCGAGGATCTCGGAACTGATCATTGTGACGTCGTCGACACGCCAGAGTAGCTTCCACCAGGCTAGCTTGTGCCAGTTCTTTGCTGCAAAGGCTTCGTCGAGCTGGTCGCGGAGCTCGGCGTGCGACTTCTCAGCCCAAGTCTCGAGATGGCCAAGAATCGATGCAGTGACCTCATCGTCAGTTTGGACAGTTGCAAGTCTCTGCAGGTGAGCGGCATCTTCTTTTGCGACACTTGCTTCTACACCGTCTGCAACAGAAGCTATGAGCGTCCTCAGTGGAGGCTTAATACCACTGGAAGTTTTGAGATCCTGAACCAGCCATTGAGATAATGTTGGCAGCCCGCTCTGGAACCAAGCGCGCTCATAGATAGTCGCGTTTTTGATAGACTCGCGGAAGCTGTCAAGTCCCTTAGTACCAGATGCAATGTTGATGGCAGCACTTTCGGCGTTAAGATCTGAACTTGAATCGGTCGATGGCACTGGCAAATCAATAGCCAACTTCACCATGTCTTGCATCTCATCAAGACCGTTGGCGGAAAATCTACCATAGGATATGGCACTGTCGAGTCCCTCTCCTAATACTAACGTCTTATGTACCGGATATGGGACGGGCAATCCTCTGGCAGAAGTGGCCTGGAGTTTGGGGACCAACAGCGACTCGGTGGAGCTCTCTGTTGACACATGAGGGACGGATTTGTTGACATTGACATTTACCGTCGAAACAAGGACCTCTATATTGTGCGATTGGAGAACGCGCGACGGGACGGCGAGAACTCTATACAGTGGTGATGGCGTGACGTCGTCGGGGTCGGTGCCGTACCTGCGCAGACATGTCAATTGTTGCGCCCTCGTTGCAGCGACCTGAGGGCACCCACTTTAGCAACACAGCATTATCACTGCCGACGCCTGCCTTGGCCAGCTCCTTCTCCCATTGCCCTTCAGCGGCCAATGGGTCAGCAAGCAGCAACCGTGCCAATTGTTGTGCGCTCAATTGGCTATTCAAACCAAGGACTGTATGCCACTGTCAGCGCCTACGCCGCCCGCACTCAATTGCGTGTGCATCGTACCAGCGACTCTTGTGACTGCATCTTGGGCGGCCAGGCCCCGCAATGCCAGCTGTAATCTACTAATGTTGACGTGTGTCTCTGCAGCTCCACTGAGAGCGGATAGGGCGTCGTATAGCTCCTGGTTGCGTGGCGGGACATTGGGGCGCAGATTTATCGCAGTCGGCGAGACATGCGTCGATGCGGAGCGGGCGCGGAGACTCGTACATGGCGACTTTGGGACACTGCGACAGCGGAGCGCAAGCGGAATCCGATCAATCGACCCTGCCTTGCGAAAGATGGTCAGTCGCGGCACTGAGGCCACCCATGGAGGCATCGGGCTTGAAGTTGAGCATTACTATCATCCTCTGCAATACTGCAATTGACGTAGGTCGGCAAAGCTAGCTTCGGCCCGCGCACGTGCGCCAGCACTAGCCAGCACTATCTCATCCACCATCACCACATACTACATTCACAACAACAAAACCACTCATACATTTAGGCACGTGAATTGATTGTGTCTCAATGAGGATTCGGCTCAATAAAGCCGCAACAGTCGACCAGCAAATTATTACCACCCATCGTAGGGTGATACCTTTAACGTTATATACGCCTGAATGGTATACTGATGACATTTGGTAGCCCGCCAATACTGAAATCAACAACCAAACCAGCATGTCATGTCATGATTCGTCTCACGGCTTCGCTCTCCGACCACGAACGCGCAAATCGCGCCTAGCTCTTTCGGTTGCGACTGGATCCAGATGACCTGCACATATTAGCCACTGTACTTGCAATATTGCACCGCCATCTAGCGATACTTACATGCTAATGCGCCTTGCCACAGTGGCCAGGCCCTGATCGTTGTCTGCCTCCTTGGTTGCCTTCTCAAGAGCTTGCTCTCGGCTGACTTCCTGAGATTTGCGTACTTCCTCGTGGCTTGGTGGGAGTCTTTCGTTCTGCAGATCGACCTTGCGCGCGTCCTCGAAGCTGTGGATTGCCTGCTTAATTCCTTCTGCGCCAAGCATCAGAGTGCCAGCCGGGAGTCGACCTCCTGAAGCGGTCTTCAACTCTGTAACACGCTCAGACTCCTCACGCAACACTTGGAATACTCGAGAGAGGCGACCAATAGCCAGAATCTTGTTCTTGATGGCACGACGCTTGAATTCGGTCGATTCTGGATCTAGACTCGAGAGAGGAGGCGAAGATGGTCCGGAAGCCAAGGAGCTGGGTGTCTCCTCTTCGAGCTCCTCCTTGGAGCACGTGTTCAAGATAGCAATGAGCATGTCAGTGACTAAGAATAGTTAGCGAAGATACTTAAAAAGTTCATCTGCTTCACGTACTCTTCTCTCCAACGAATGGCAATGACCATGTGAAAACGTCCATGAAATTGGGCAACCAGTACGGGTGAGGTGTGCAGTCTGGAGGTGTTAGTCTCTTAGTCCTTAAATGAGTGACATGAACTTACTGAATTGCCGAATGTTCATGACATTGTTCTCATACTTGAGTACGGCAGCCTTGTTGTTGTACACATCCAGATAGTTGGGTGCGCTGAAGATTGTCATGACACTGGGGAAACCAGTCGTCCGTGTCTTCCTGTACATTCGGTAGCCAGCATCCTGGGCCTCGTGCGCACGGATAATAGACAAAAGATTGTTCTTCTCGAGGAAAGCGCAGGCAGCAGGGTACGAGAAGAAGTATGAGCAACCACGAACGTGGTTGTGAACAAAGAAGTCGTTGGTCTTCTCTTGGCCAAATTCCTCGAGTGGGTCAGCCCACAGAATATCGCACATGAGACCATGCGTTGGCGGCTCCCGGAAGCGGTCAATCTACGACAGTCAGTTACGGCGCTAGAAGCGTTGAGAGTAACACATACAGTCTTCAGGTCGTCCAAAGTGTGAAGTTCAGGGCTCAATCCACCGTGTATACACAAAAACTGCTTGTTCATGACTGCAGCCAGAGGCAATGCGCAGAAAGAGTCCATGCATGCTTCGTATACGGCCTCGGAGTACTTGTGCTTGCATTCGAGCTTAAAGGTGAAATAATCGGTCAAGTGACGGCACTCGTGGTTTCCTCGGAGGAGCCAAAGGGTGTTGGGGTACCAAATCTTGAGGGACCATAGGTACAAAACACACTGCGGTTGTCAGCGAATTGCAGGTGGCAAGCTTCGCAGTTGTGGCAGTCTCACCTCTATACTGAAGTATCCACGATCAACATAGTCGCCCAAGAACAAGTAGCGCGTCTCCGCTGGGTCGCCACCGACTTCGAAGAGCTTCATGAGATCGTAGTACTGGCCGTGGACATCGCCACAGACAGTGATGGGAGCGTCCATTTCCAACATGTTGGGCTCCGACTTTAGAATCTCTGTGCCCTTCTTTATGATCCATAGCGCCTGCTGTTCGGTCAAGCGACCTTCACGGTAAAAGTGCTGCTTGAGGAACTGGATATTGGGCTTGGTGCGATCTTGCGGTGAGAAGAATTGCTCGTCGGTGGGCGGGTGGAAGGCGGGTGCTTGCACGTCTGGTAGGCACAGCGCCGTTAGCACATTATTCGGGCTGTTTCGTGTAGCAGAAATGACAGAAAACAGGCAGACAAGCCAGACAAAAGCTGCGAAACGGGCATACCTTTGCAGACACGTTCCTGAGTGCTCACTTGGCTGCCATCTTCCATGGTATGGAGGGTAAAGTCAATCTCGGGGAGAGGCTTCTTCTCCCGCACGGCGCGGATGGCATTGTCGATGTACTTTGTCTGGTCGACATCTTGCTGGTTTTCCATGTTGGGCGGTCTGTGCTGTACGCCGTAGAGGGTGAGCGCCAGGAGACGGTGGAGGTGAGGGTAACGAAGTAGTGGGGCGAGCGCAATGACCTCCTAAGCTCAAGTGGCGGCAACGTGCGAAACGAAGGCCGAGACTCGCTCCTCCTAATACCTTGGGCCGACAACACACGAGATAATACCTCAAACCACCGTATCTGTTCAGGGTGTCGCACTTTGTCTCGTCGCGTGCTATCGTGTGTACGATGTGGCGAGGGGCTTTGGTAGGGCCGAGGGTGGGAATGCAGAGGGCAAGTCAGGTTGTGCTGTCTGTTCACTGAGGGGTGGGCCAATCAGCAGCCGACTAACGTCATAATCCGGTGAATAGGCTCGAGGATGTGCTTGTAGCAAGCAGATGCGTAGTACCAAAGAATAGGAGATGCAGCAATGCATGCCTCGCGATTAAGGCAGCATGGTCGAGTGTGATGCTCCGCTCCAGCCAGACATGTCTGTCACATCAGGCAGTTACATTTGATCCTGCCTGGCCTGACAAGGAACGCTTCGCATCCACCCTTGCTTCTTACTCATAATTGTTAAGTTTCCGACGAAACACCAACGAAACAGGCACAATAGACTCAGCATCACAATCAAAATTGGAGAAAATGGGGTTTGAGTAAAAATGAGCGTTATCATTGAGTATTGTACAACAGATAGTGTGTATGCAGCTCTCGTGGTCACGAGACTTGGCACAAGACTTCTCTTTCATCGATAAAGGGAAAAAAGGAAAGAAACAAGGCATGCCAGCCGGGTCAAGAGCTGAACATGAAAGAAAGAACGTAACAAAAGTAGACCACAAGAAGAAGAAATGTCACGAGCAAGACCCAAGTGGTATCTGCTGCATGTGACTGGAGATATGAACACCAAGACCCAAAAGCCCTTCCCAATCCATACCATATATGTCCCTATCCGTATTTCCCAACTCCAAATGATGTGTTTCGTAGCCAACGGCTGAATTGGGTATGTAGGAACCTCTTGCGCGCCTTACAGCTGCGTAGGTTGTGACGCTTAGATGAGGTGAGAGGCTCCGTGGCGGCGGTGGAGGTGAGCGCGAGGGAAGTGGAGAGATCGCTTCTTGGCAGAGGCAACGACAGCGCCACCAGTGCAAGACATGCCGTTGGCCAGGGGCTGGGCAACAACACATCCGTGGTTGCAGAGACCGAACTGGCTGGTGCCAATGCAGACGACTGCACCATCATTGTCGCAGGGAGTGCAGTCACCATTGCCAGAGGAGGGTGTGTTTGTGCCGTTTTCGGGAGTCTCTGGGGCAGGGCTGAGGGCAGGCGGCTGAGGAGCGCTTCCGGTGGGGGTGGGTGGCTGAGGAGCACTTTGGGCGGGTGGCTGAGGAGTGCTATCGGCAGGTTGTTGAGGGGAGGTGATAGGCTTGGAGACGATGGGAGTAGGAGTGGGCGTAGGAGCTTGAGAAGCACCGGGAGCGAAGATGCCACCGTTGTTGGCAGGAAGGGAAGCCAATGGAGAACTGGCAGCTGGGGTCTCGCTTCCTGCGGGTTGAGATGCCTCAGGCTGAGTGGGGGTTCCAATCTTGCCGTTACCAGCACCCATCTTGGTCATCTTAGCACATCCAGAACCAGTCAGGGTGTCGCCCAGTGCAGCACCATTGCCCTCGATGAGGTTCTTGCCTGGTTCTGGGTAGACGAAGTCTTCATTCTCTGCAGTGTGACATTCGGTATCGGGCAAGTTGGCCACGAACATGTCTGGTAGAGATGAGAGGGCCTGAGAAGCACTGGCAGTGGAAGCCTTGCTAGCGCCATTTCCGACCTGAACGGGAGCACAGTTCATGTAGAACTCGCGGTTTCCGACCTTGTTGATCCAAGTCCATGCGAAAGTGTAACGGCCATCGGGGATGTCTTCTGGCATCTTGACTGGGAAGGTGGCAGCGCCAGTACCGTCTGGAGCATCTGGAAGGTTGGCGCTGGCGTTGGATGGGCAACCACCGACAACACTCTGGATGACTTTCCATTGGGAGGACAGGGATGGCTCTTGATCAGTTGTGATTGAAAACTGGCACGAACCGCCACCATGAACAGCAGAACCTAGGAAGGAAACCTCCTGAGTCTCACCGGCATTCCATTGGTTCATCTCGGTAACGTCGTACACACCAGGACGCTGCTTGCAAGGAAAGTCGGCAGGTGCCAAAGGGGAGCTGTTGAGGGTGTCGAAGCCGAAAGGCATTGGGTTCTTCATCCTCATGTGGGCGGAGGCGCTGGCGACAAGCGCCATGAGAAGGGTGGCTTTGGAGAACATGTTGATATTTGAAAGAATGAGGTGAGAAAAGGCTATTCTCTGTTGGAAATCGCTAGACCAGCTGAGCGACGGAACGAATGTGTTTGTGGGTATCTGAAAAAGTGCTGAGCGAAGCGGGTCGAATTTGAAGAAGAGTGGTAGATTGTCGAATCTAGTTCTTCAGCAGCGCACAGTGGTTGTAAAGAATGTGATCTGCCACAGGCAGGATGGAACAAGAAGCAAAAGGGAGAAAGAGAAGTCTTGGTGTTTGCTGTAGAAGCTGCTTGTGAGAGGACAGTTGAGACGAAACGCTGCTGGGTTAATATATAACTCTCATGTCGTCTGCGCGTACAGCTAGCCTCAGTCGGTGGCGGCCGAGGAGGGTCTCATCCGGCAGCACTAGCAGCTGGGAGCCACTGTGCCGGCGGATCATGGTGAAAAAGCATAGGCTATTCGATGGAGCAGGGTGTCTGTTGCAACGAAGAGCATGGCTGTTCGGTTAGTGTGCCCCCTGTGGTCTAGCGGGAGGGGTGTGGGCGCTGGAAAGGTGGTGTAACCATCAGTGTCGGCAACTAGCGACAGGCACGAACCCGACGCGATTGGTTCTGCGGTGATGACAAGGCCATTGTCCTTGAAACAAAAAGAGCGGAGTATGGCTCGGAGGGGCAGGTATTGGTACTGTGCTCTAGTCAGGGGGGCCACCGTCAGGTTTGAGGTCTGTACTTGGGGTTTGCAAGTTATGCAGGGGCAGGTGGGATTCCGTGGCCTATCGATAACGCCAGGGCTAGCGTTAGCGTCGCGCGGCGATCACTAGCCAAATCTGAAACGACATGCACCCTCGCTGAGGCCTGCTTTTACACCCCTCATTGGTCCATGGCCTCATCTCCACGACCGCTCTTCTCCCACACTCTGCTTGCACGCCAGCAAACCACGTAGCACACTGGCGGCTCTCTGTCGCTAGCCACCGTCTCGTAACCGCCTATGTGTGTGCCTGTGTGTGTGAGAGCGTACCATGGGCGCAAACAAGCCTGCTTGCGTCCAGCCACGGTGCCTGCCATGGCACAGCGACCACCTTTTCCCTTTGATTGCAGGCCTCGCCCGCCAACAGACCCCATCAATGACATACGAACTTCATGCATAATATCCTTGGTATACCTCGTCATGCGCAAGGGGTCTTTTTTTGGCTCGCCACAGCTAAGCCTCCTATGCCGTGACAGTCGGCAGCGGCAACGGCGTGGAGATCTGTGCAAGGTACACACATGCACAGTGAGTAGGTTGCTAATCTGGTCTGTCGGCGAAATGCAACCAACTGACATGGCCTTTGCCTTGTGCTTGGTGCGAGCACGGCTGCGCCACATCGTGTCCCCTTGCCTGACGTCGGGATAGGCGAGCGGAAGGATTGCGATCTGAGTACCGGCTGTGTGGCTGTGGCCGCTCGCCGCTGGCCGCCGTGGGCTGTAGCCTCGTGGTGGCCTGGGTCATGTGGCCCGGCGGCCGCGACCCTATGGCCTCGCTTCTCTCGCTACCCGCCACTCATCGCCTGCTTGCTGTGGAAAGGTGCGCCGTCGCCTGCCAATCGTCGACCCTCCCCGCCCATGATTGGGCACTCATCAACTACAGCTCGTTTCACTATATCGCTCGCACCCAAGGAACTCGCGCGGGAATGACTAGCAAACAATTACACATTACCCGCCTCTCCTGTCTCTCAAAGCTGATCAGTGGGGACTAGACGTGGCCCATGGAGCTTGGTTTCGGATGCTCCGCGAACATCGCCCACTGGCCAATCGACCCATAGCCGACACGACGAAAGACTACGACGACGATGATGACGATGCCGACAAAGCTTAGAGCACCAACTAGAGCCATGGCCACCGTACTATTCATCAGAACTTTCCCACGCTATTAGTCGCCCTTCCATCCCTTCACCAGACGTGTGTTGAGTCATAGCTACCGAACGACAAGCAGCCGCATTGCTAGTCATGAGCTACAGCATGCAGGAGTAGACAAAAGCTTTCAAGCACAACAGCTAAGCATTCCACTACCTCCTTCGGTAAGTTTGACGGGATTCCAGAAGCTCTTCAGAATGACCTCAGGGATACAACCTGAAGTGGCCGAGGACTCCGGTGGCCAAACTTCGGCAAATGGCAGCCATCTTCACTACTCTGCAAATACTGCAAGTTCACTTTGGATTCAGACTTTTCAAAGCGCCACTTTGCTTCTCCTTGGCTATTCGGCAATGTTGCACTTCCGCTGCCGTTGAGCTTCCTAAGTCGCCCCGGGATGCGATCTTCCAAGGAAATTGGCATTGCCGCTCGTTGTCTCAATGAGTGCAAACATCCGCTCTTAGGCTTTACCCCATGTCAAACGGCATGCTTAGCTACAACCTGTTTGAAAATCTGGCACATTACCATATGTCCCGTGTGCGACTTGTGGATATCAGTGTGCATGTTCCTCCTCGGCCCCTTTGGACAAGGACAGCGACTAATCAATGGTTCTACTCGACAGCCCCGAGTAATTTCCATTGATGCGGAAAGAGTTTTCCGTTTAGCCCCAGTTTCCCCAGGCGCTCGGGACTGATACTCTAGGTGTAGAAATACCACACACAAAAGCATGGCTGCGTCAGCATAGTAGTGTTTCAAGAACACAGAAGACGTTGGATACAGGAAGGGAAATACAAACAAGATGGAATCTGTCTTATCTTTATAATCAACTCAGGCCTCTGAACTAAGTATCAACTGCTTGAGCCCCTCCGCCAGGAAGCAACCTTTTTGTCGAACCAAGTGGCTTTGGACCTGACTCTCACAAACGGTGTTTTCTCAATGCCGATATGAACTCTCCCGTCACCACCACCAATGAAACTCCCATATCCGTACCTTGCGTCTACTTCTTCGAGATGTCGAGCTCGGCCCCTTTTATCCAAGTACGATGTCCCTCGCATGTCTTGAACAGCTGCACTAGCGGCGAATAGTGCAATCAAAGAAGCGATCGATGTGGGCAACCGTGCAAGATATCGGCCAGGGCGACGCATGTACACCATGACTGCAACAATAACGTAGGTACATAAAATGGCCTCGGAAATGATAAACATTGGCATCGAGACGAAGAGGCGTGTCTCCGGCGCTATGCGCCAGCCTTCTGGTGCCAGTGCGTTCTGAGTAGGGCTGGGTATCAACAATTTGTCTTTATTGGTCCCCATCCAGATTGCAAATAGAAGGGAATACGCTTTGTTCAAGGGACCTTCTATGTCCTCAAACGTGGGTGGACCTTGCTTGGGATCGACCAACCGGCTACTATTGGCTGAATGGCTGATGAAGTAATTGATGAAGCCGTCGGCGAAGCTGTCATTGTGCCATCCGGCATTGATGGTTTTGAAAATGTATCTGTTCGACTGGCCAATGACATTGACGGGGTCATTGCTGAAGGTTTCCATCGGAATACGGTCATCTATCGTCAGGTTTTGTGCCTTCTTCTGCAGTCGACCACTTGAATCGACTCGAACAGTTGCAAATCCTGTCATTAGTTTTGGTCGACAATGCACAAAGGCTGCATTTTGCTTGTTCAGCGCCATTGGTTTTACCTCTCCACAGGAGCCATCGCTGTCTCGAAGCCATCCCATGACAACTGACCCCATGCATACTGCTGTATCGGCCTGAGACGCATTTTCGGATGGGCCTAAAATGACCACCAGCTCGGCTGCACTTGGCCCAGTAACGCAGCTGCCTGCCTCGGACGATATTGGGCCCTGGCGCATGTATGCGCCCATCTTGGTACACTGGACAGCTTTTCCGGCAGGCGAAGTGACTGTGATATTTATCGATGGCGCAACACCCTCGATCGTGGGTGATTTGCTGATCAGGCCAGCTTGGAACTGTTCATCAAAGTCAAGATTCTGGCATTCGAGCTTTGCGCCAATAGCTCTAGTTCTTGCTTCAACTTGTTCTTTTGCTGACTGTACACCTTCTGGTATGAATGGCAAATAGAACATGGTATCATCAATCCACGGAGGTAACGCTGTTCCTTCTCTGACGTGCGAGTCGGCAACATAGAACTGATCTTCCCCGTTACCACCCTGATAAGCACCAGATGCTTGCACATCGCCAAAATTTCGACCATCTAGAGGACCAATCGAGCCATTGATTGGTACAAATTTGAAATCAAGCGGGCGACTGGTAGAAATGGCGTGTTGCATGTCGATAGTGCGTTGGTTGAAGAGGCCAGCAAGACTGACAGCTAGCAGGTTGGCTAGCAACGCCATTGTGCACACTGCGGCGAGGACGAAGTGTTTTGATTTGAAAGCCTTGAAAACGACTAGCTGTGGTGGAAGAGAGCTGTAGTCAAGATCGATCGACCTTTTCGCACGCGCGTTGCAGCCTTGAAGTTCTTCGATCGGTTGTAGCATGCAGAGCAAACGGTTAAACAAAAGCCAAATTGGTTCGATGAGCGTGGCTATGGCTGTAGGTAAATAGTTTTCCAACAAATTCTGCACAATCGTGTTGGGTGAAGGGAGGGGCAAGCCTGCCTCAGTCAGCACTTTCAAATACTTCCGGTTGAGCGACAATAGATCCTACCCTGCAATCGAGCTTTGGCGAATATTATAGCGAGGAAAATGGCTAACCCTAAGAAAGTGGTGACAAGCGGACCGGCTACCCAGGAACTGAATTCAGTAGGCCTGACAGGCTTCGCGATGCGAGTCACTGTATTACGTTGCTGTGTTGGAAGCGGCCATTGATTGCTGCTATCGAGAACTTCGGGTGAACGGCCAAGCTCGACGATACTGTCTACAATTTCAGCAAATTCCCCATTTCCTGGTCCTGCTCGACACTTACCCGGTAGAAGTCCCATCATCAACAAGCTTGTATCGCTTTTGGCCCAGATGCTTTTCGATCTCTTCTGACTTACAACAATCCAGTCCTTCTATGTCGGCCAGTAGCGGCTCGTTATCAGCAACCATGGACATGATTGCAGCGATAGTACTAGGATTCGAACGAAGTGGCTTCCTCCGGGTGACTGAAAGATATAGCAGCGCTATCGTCGCCAGTGAAACTACACCAAGAAACCCCTCCACAATGTATACAAATACGGGTTCGAGCACAACAGCTTCTGTGTTGTCTACCACTCGTCCGGTGACGGTTTCGACGGAGCGAAAATCCTGGTTCAATACTTCTCTCATCGCACGAGAAAACATGAGTCTATAGCCATCTGCGTAAGACTTGGCCAAAACTTTCCAGTCTAGGTATTCTTCTAAAGGGCGATTACTGAGGCTGAGTGCCAAGCCCACCATTGGCTGTACCAACCCAGCACCATTGGGGCCAGTGCTCAAACTTAGGTTTGTTCGCGCGATAGGATCAAAGTATTCAGGCATGGCTTTGGTGGGCAGGAGGTCACCTCTTACTTCATGCGCATTCGAGATGCTGTTCATTAGCTGTTCCAAGAGGGTGGTGTTGAAGATACCATCCTGCAGGGGCTTCTTCTCGCCGACAGGGTCGACCTTGGATGGTATCAACGTGACGGCATCGACAGTTGCGATTGCATCTTGTTGGTAGTAAGTCGGCCAACAGTAAATCGCCGTTACATTCTGGACTGGATCCGTACTCTTGGCTTTGTTGCGCTGTATAGCCGCATAGAAAGTGCTGTTGCTTGTCTCCGGACAGTATTGATCCAGAGAGTAGTCGGCAAAGCCAAAAGGATTCCAATAACCCACGAACATGGCCGTAAACTCTTTGTTGCGCAACACGGTGTCGTCTCCATATGCCTTGTTCAAGCCCTCGGTAAGGTTTCCAGTCAGGCCCAGGTTGAAGGAACATCCATTAGAACTGTTCGCAATGACACCAGTACGAAGCGGTTTGGTGCTCATAACGGCAGGCTCACAGTACAGATCCAAGCTATACATTGTCGTCGGCGCCGTCCAATTCCCATACGGCACAGTTTTATTATCCGTTTTCGAAGCAGGTGTCGGTCGGAACGGAGCAAGCGTATAGTTCCGGCCCATATACTGTGTCAGCGTCTCATTCAACACCGCAATGCCATATGCCGACTGAGCAAAGCGCATTGTCAGCGTCGACGCCTGATCGCTAGCAGGCACAAACGCCGTTGAGCGGTCAAACGGCATCGTGTCGTTGCGGGTAATCGAGCGCGTGGAAAATATACCAGCTTGCGTAGGTACAAGCCCCCAGGTTACCAGAACGACCGCAAACGAAGCCCAGAACACTGGCCAATGCTTATCTCTAGCCGCTTTAATCGGGACCAGAGGGAGAAAGTCGAAGGGGTACTTGAGCAGGATCGAGTCCTTGCCCAGCGCCCCGTTTTCCTTGCTGAGCTGATAATACGGCTCCATGCGTTTGGTCTCCAGGTCGATCCACGCCCAGTACATGCTGAATATCACAGCGACAATGGTCGGAAAGTACAAGTATAGGAATGTCCGGCTTAGTGGCAAATCGCTGATTCTCGGTGCGAAGATTATGCCTTGGTTTTGTTGACTCCGGGTCAGTAGTATTTGTACTACGGCGATTAACGACCAGCATATTAGTATGGTGAGGATGAGTACTGGGGCGCGGAGTGCGGTTGGTTTCCATCGTTTGAGCGCTGTGTTTTTTTCTTGTTAATATCTGCTCGTGATGCAGTATAGATGTTAGATGGGACGTACCCGGGTCTTCCGAACTGCTTCTCGAAAAGATTGATACCAAAGCACATGATTTCTTTGGTCGCGTAGTAGCATCAGCGACGCTTAGCTGCGCCACGGATGTATCACTAGTACCATCCATTGTGAAGGGAAAAAACGAGAGGCAAAAAAGCAACAAGGGCCAATGAAAAGGGAGAAAACACAACAGAAAAATTAGACAGAAAGACACTAGGAGTTGAATTGATACTCTCTACATGTTGACACGATAGGTACTTATTCGCAGTTCATCGCAGCATAAGCGCCCCCAAATCTCGAGGCGCCTGCTGCGGCGCAGTAAAACATGTAGACCAATGGTTTAGCGACGACGTTCCTCATGTAGCCTAGAGCGATGCCATCAGGAACACAGCGATTAACGTTATCTGACTACTGTCCAATACGATTGCCGTAACACAGCGGCAAGTGGATACATGCTTTCCTTTTTAGAGTAACTATGCAGGTGCGGGTGGCTTTGCTGGCAACAGGTGTGATGATCCCCGGTGTTGTGTGCGTGGTCTTGGCATGTGAGGCAGACAGCCTTGCGATACACAGGAATTATGTACACGGCAATTTGCAATGAATTTGATGAACAATTTATCGAGATGTGGATGAAAGGTGCAGTCGTTGTAACTGAGACGAAGCTTGCTGTGTTAGCGGAACGCCCCGACTTCGCGTCTCCTGCAATATGGTTAGCGGTTTCGGGTACAAGGCTTTTATACACCCTTACCACCACGTCGTAAAGTTCACAGTCGAGACATCGATGCCCAGATCTTGGAGGACGCTAGTATCTAGATGGCAGTCGTAGGGCCGAATGGTACCGTCTTTCGGTTCTTCCTCAGGCTTGAAGGGCACCATGTTGTCGAGTGGCAATCCCATGATGTCGGCAAAAGTCTCGCAGATTTGCCATTTGGTCATTTGGTCTTCTGAGCTGAAGTGAAGGATTCTGGGGAGTTCACGGGTTCTGGCAAAGTTGTCAGCAATGATGACTAAGTGATTGTATGTGAAGTTCCTACTACTTACGTATTGGTGGGATTCAGATATAGCTTTGCTATATCACGACATACTCTGCCGACATCCTGAGTGTTGGTAGGATATCGGAGTGCGTAGTCATCGACTTGGATCTTGGGTTCACCTTCGCCTATTTGCTGAGCGTTCCAAAGCTGCGACATGAGTACGTTGACTGCGCTTTCCTTGGGCTCATCACAGGCTCCGTAAAGGACAGGGACTCGAAGGACAACGACTTTGTTCTTTGCACCGACGAGTTTTGCAACATCAAGAACAGCTTGTTCGCCTTCTAGCTTGGTCTGGCCATAACTAGCAATGGCCGTCAGCCTAATCTCGACAACACCATTGAGGCTGCACCCGAATTGACTTACACATTTGGCGGGCTTGGGGTGGCGTCGACCTTGTAAGGAGCCTCACCTGGACGCCCCGGAAAGACATAATCTGTGGACATGTAGATGAGCAAAATGTCCCGAGCTATGGTGGCTTGAGCCAAGGCGCGGCTGGCCTCCACATTGAGCGCTCTTGCTGCTTCCGGGTTCGCAGTGCATGAGTCTGGGAAGCGATTTGCAGCACAATGGACTACAGCACGAGGTTTGATGTTGTCTAATGCCTTTTCGATCTCTCCATGGTCTTGAATGTCCAGTTTGATAACATTGGGTGCGGTTACGCGGTTCAAACCAGTGCCAATCGACTCCCAGCCATCGAGGAGGAATTCTCGCTGCACTTGACGTCCGAGCAGACCACTGGCTTTGTCTTAGGGTCAGCCAGCAGCGTGAGACTTGTCAAGGCTCGCTTTACCTCCAGTGATTAACGCAGAGTACGACATGCCTCGACTATCGAAACGAAACACAGCTATCAGGATGTTCGGCTGTTTTTCCCGGCGAGAGAGTTGTGCAAGTTTGGAGACTTGAGAGATGCAGTTGAAAGTGACTGGGGAAGGGAAGGGCCGGGGCGCTGTCACGTGCTAGCGAGACGCCCGAATCCCTGCAAGCTCACCGCGACGGCTCGACTGTCGCGAAGTAGCTGCGACTTGCATCAATCGCAACAACACTCCTCCTCCACCACCACAGCAACAATGTCGACAATAGTAAAGGAAGCTTCTCAAAGCTCATATCCGTGAGTATTTCCCTCGCCATATCATATTTACATTCATCTAATACAGACAGCCCCGTCATTCCTAAGGACTTTAATGGAAACCAGCCAAAGACGATCCGTCTGTATCCTTTGAGCAATTATACTTTTGGAACAAAAGATGGCCAGCCAGAAGAGGACCCCTCTGTCCTTGCGCGGCTGAAGCGCCTCGAAGAGCACTACTCGGAACACGGTATGCGACGAACGTGCGAAGGCATATTGGTCTGCCACGAGCACAACCATCCCCACATCCTCATGCTGCAGATTGCGAACGCTTTCTTTAAGCTGTAAGTATTTGCTGCGATATGATTCACATACTGCAAATGCTAATGAATGCGACAGCCCTGGTGATTACCTCCGCGCTGAAGATGACGAGATTGAGGGTTTCAAGGCGAGGCTAAATGAGCGCCTTGCGCCCGTCGGCACACAGTTCACAGGAGAGGGCGTCAACGACGAATGGGTGGTTGGAGACACATTGGCGCAGTGGTGGCGGCCCAACTTTGAGACCTTCATGTACCCCTTCATCCCCGCCCACGTTACCAGGCCCAAGGAGTGCAAGAAGCTCTACTTCATCCAGCTTCCCCGCAGCAGTATGCTTGTTCCTACCTTTGTTCGAGTGATTGGATTGCTAATTATGTGCAGAGGTCCTCAGCGTTCCAAAGAACATGAAGCTCCTCGCCGTTCCCCTGTTCGAATTGTACGATAACACTGCTCGATACGGACCCCAACTCTCAGCTATTCCACACCTACTCTCCCGGTACAACTTCGAGTTTGTCGACGAACAGGGCAATGTCGCAGCGTGCACACCTGGTGTAGGCCCACCAGAGGGATACCGTCCACAGACCAAAGTCCTGGCAGGTGGAGATGGTGAAGACGTGAAGATGGAGCAAAATGGAGATGGGACTGCTAGCGACATCACGCTCTCATAGAAGTCTACCAGCGTCTTCTCAGCTCTCCCTTTCTTTCATACTTGTTTATATCTGGTGTTAGGCGTTATGATAGCGCACATGGCAGTACCAGAGTTTCCACAACAACCAGACCCCAGCGAATGAGTCGAGAGTTTTCGCAGATGGAAGAAGGGTTGCCTCCAACCGAAGCAGGTTGAGAGGATGTATTATTTGGATCGAGGTTTGCTATTGATGTGGACTTCCCCTTGATCAGGCGAATGAGAGGTGTAGTGATGATCGGAAATGAGCTCGAAGACGTCAAATGATGCGCCAATTACCTTTTGAGCCCTGGTACCTAAGTCATTGATGTGCTTCCCATGGGCCGGAGTGGGACTTTACCCAAGATGAACCCTGTCCAACCTCAGCTCAACTCAGTCTAGTCGAGAAGCGGGAACTCTGGATTTCCTCTAGCGGTAATTTCAGGGCTCACAGTCCAAAATCTGCAGCCGCAAGTATCTCTCTCTAGTGTCATCATGCCTCGTACAGGATTGATTCTCTGGCGCCACATTCAACTCCCCCCATCTAATATATCATGACATCCTTGAGTTCACATCTCCCCTCTTTCCTGCGTCACATTTCCAGCTACAGTCAACAAATCGCATTCAAAAGTCTACCAGTCCCTGCTTCGTGATGTATTATAAGACTTCCCGTTCGCCTCCCCTTGTTCCTCTCTCCAGTTTCTCCAAACTCAAGCGCCAGAAAATCACTCTTTCATCCCCCACCCAGGATTGAAAGCTGTTGATATCAAAAAAAGAGGCTTTCTTCCCCCTCCCCAAACCCAACTCGCCAAGGCACGCACACACTCCGTCCACCCGAGTCACTGTACCTTCTCCCTCCCCTTCCACACATATAACTCAAACTAACTCCCCTCCCCCTCCCAAAAAAAGTCTTAACACGCTTCTCAACCATGTTCCTCCTCAAATTCTTCTTCGTCACCCTCTTCATCACCCTCACCTTCTTCTTCAAAGATAAACAATATTACCACACCCGTCCCGTCGCCGAGCAGCAGCGCTGCATCGACTTTTGCTACCGCGCCGGCCGCACAGATGTCATGCACATGAAGATGTCGTGCGCTTCGTGCATGGAGCGTATTCACAATAGCGTATGCTATGATTGTGCTAAAGCGAGGTATTTGGCACTGCCGTATAAAGAGGAGTATCAGCAGTGTTGGAAGTGCTACAAGTATGCTGGGTGGAATACTTGAAAGGGAGGGAATGGGAAGTTGTGGTGGTGGGGAGTCGCAAGGTGGCATGGGTGGGGGGTTTTGTGGTATGGGGGTTTTTATTTATTTTGGGGGGAGGGATTGAGATTGGTGTTGTTGAGGATGAGAAAGAGAGAGAAAGAGAGAGAGAGAGAGAGAGAGAGAGAAAAGGGTATTATTTTTGGCATGTCTAATTGAGGGGATGGAGTTTTGATACAGGCTGTGTTATCAAATCATGTATAAGTAAGAAGGAAACACCAAATCCTCCTCGATGAACTTTCTCCAGTCTGAGGCCTCTCCCACGTATGTACGTTTGTTGGCTCTAGGATCGCCAATGTACCTCACGCCTTGGGACAATTGACTCGAACCGAAGCGAAATGCCCAGAGCTACACGCCTTGTTGCGCGTCGACCACTTCCAGCCCTTGCAGTTGCTTCCGCTGTGAACACTGACTTCGCATTTGCTATGTTATCACTGTTAGTCCCGCCCCCCCCCTTTCAAAAAAAACGAACAGAAGGAAAAAAAACTCACCCGATATCTGACTTGAACCATGAGAAAATCGACCCGACATTCGTAAACGCCAAGCAGCGATCTTGACCCGGCATAACATTCACCATGTAGGTGCGCCCACCGTTATCATCGCACTTCATATCGTCAAAGACCCAGATCTTCGCCATGTTCTTCGGAAGCGAGCCTGAAAGTGGGCCGGTGGCTGGCCAGGGCGGTTCGAAACGCTCGGGCATGGGTATAGGGGCGGGAGAGGCCATGGCCATGGCAGCGAGGAGGGTGACGAGAAGGAAGGTTAGGAAGTGCATTTTGAAGGTTGAAAGAGTGGATGTGGGTGTTTGGGTAGATTTGAAGGTACTGTTCTTGCGGTGGAGAAATGGGAGAAGGTGGGGAAGGGGCGGAGTTATATAGTTGAGTGTCAACATGTGTTATTGCCGTTTAAGGCAGTTACGGTGAAAGTGAAGGTGGTGCTTGCCGATGCTTTCCGCATGTTCCCCATGTGACCCATGTAACCCGAGTGAGTGAATAATCGAAAGAGTAATGGTTGTTTCTTTCATTAATGTTTCAAGTATTTGTGTGTTGTGGTCGTTAAAGAAGTTGCTGCATGGCGAGGCGCAGGGGTGAACAAAGGTACTTTCCGCGTTTGTGCGGTGTGAGGGACTAACGCGTGGAGATCTTATACTCCTTCTTTCTAAACATTGTATTGGTAATATATGCAATGCATATCGTATGTGTTTGCAAAATATTATGCTTTCTTAGCAGATTTGTAGCGGTATGTTAGGGAGCTGGCTGACGGATTTGGATGTGGTAGTAAGTAGAGCGTGCAGCTTAGGTCTTACATTAATGCAAGTACAGATACACCAATCACCATACACCCTCGAATACTCACATAACAACAATGAATTTTCCAATGATTCTTGGACTTGGAAAAAAAAGTTAATGTACGGCGTTGAAGCTTTTTGACGGCCATCATAAGCTATGTCATAGATCAAGAACTCTGGATGTGAATTAACGTTTTCATGTTATTGTAGTTGACCCGCTAGAATGATGAAAATAAGAGTAGAGTGCGCCGATACAGCAGCCAAAGGACTGTCAATTGAACGGCGTGGTGGCTAAGCACCCATGTATCGTGTGCTCAGCTACAGTACTGAGCACCCATTTCCTCGCCGAGCTTGACATCGTCACCATCCACGATGATCTTCCTGACGACAACGCCTACAACGTCCCACTTGCTATTGGTATCGATGGGTAGACCCGAGTCCCTCCGCTTGCCCGAAGCATCCTCGCCGCCTACCTCACGTACGACTTCCCAGTTGTTGTTGCCAACATCGACGAGCCTAGCTCGCCTATAGCTCGCGTTGGCAACCTGTCGATGAGCGACCACAAAGCCGACTTCGTCTTGCTCCTTGATCCACTTCTTGGCTTCTTCATCTTGCCAGACCTTCTTCAGAGCGGCTTCTGCGTCTTTCAGCATTCTTACACTTTGCTCTTCCGCCTCGATGGTGCCGGCCTCGGTGCCCTTGTCAAGCGGCTTTTGTACTAGGTGGGCACCACCAAAGCTCTCAACGAAGTGACCGTTCTCCGAGTTGAAGAAGATTACGTCTTTGTACCTACAGGGAGTCAGTACACATTACCTATGTTGTACAGAGAAATAACGCGTACCATCGCGTGCCTACATCATCGTAGTCACGGTCTTCTAGTGTTTTCGGTGTATGCTTGGATGACTTGGAGACCAACTGTCCACACGAGACTGTGTTGGCAGGGAGGGGTTGGGGCAGAATAGCCAGATCGGGAATGATTGAAGGAGACAATGGGCCTTCCAGGTAGCTGGGACGGCGGGAGTACTTTGCTGCAGCCATAATGAGGAGCTGTAGGAGCTGTATGGGGAGATGTGGGAGTTGTAGGAGTAGTTGGAGAGTTCAGAGATATGGATTGAGTGATTAGAAGGGGACTTCGGGCTATGTATACTGCTGGAAACTACGAGATGCGGAGGTGCTCTCGTGAGGGGTCATCAAGCTTTATGTGATCTCATAGTACCACTACCCGTTTGGTAGAAACCCCGCTCGCCATGGCGTGTCCGATCGCCTCAGGTCACGCTCATGCTGCATTGGCTAACTCTGGCAACAATGAGGCCATCTAGATCACAATGCGACGCGTACCTGCATCAGGATGAGTGGTGTGATGGATCAGGCGGTCGTGATGAGGTCGAAGACATGGCGTGTTGTACCTAAATGCTCGCTTCGAAGTGGACCCGGGAAGATCCTACGTTACCGGCGGATTCCGACAGCCCTTAGCTTGATGTCATCTTCCAAGCTCACGTGCACCACCAATACTGCGCAAACCATGATAATATAATTAAGCATTGGTATATCTTAGGAGATTCCTGAGTAGAGAACATATATACATCTACCCTGCTCCCTGCTCAAAGCTTCTGACGTCTTCTAAAGCCATCAGCCGCACATCTTCGAGGCTGCGCACCGCACTCACGGCTTCATTCCCATAGCTTTGGCCCATGCCTCCATAAGTGGCGGCCCTTTGGCACTGAGGCCCTCTTCAATGTTCAGATCCGGGTCGGCCTTAGCCATGGCGCGTCTATATGCCTCACGCTCGCCAACGCGCTTGAGCCACGCCAGAATACCCTGATACTCGCTCAGATCCACCGGTTCAAACTTGCGCATCGTCGTAAAGCACCACGCGGTCATGGTATCCGCAGCAGTAAACTCATCGCCCGCGAGCCAGGTGTTGTTCAGTAGACGGTTGTTGATGTGTTGCAATGCATTCGCGGCGCGATCAGCGACACCTATGTACCTGGGATCCTGCTCGCCGACCATTGCCCGAGCCGAAGTCCTCCTAAATAGGATGGGATGTAAAGTTCCATTCGCAAAATGGAACCAGTACAAGTAATCTGCAAAGTTCTTATGCTGCGGCCCCAGTGCCAACCGGCCATTGGCGTACTTTTGGATGATGTATTCGCTGATGGCACCCGATTCGGCAATCTTGACGGGATTGGAGGGGTCCGTGAGATCCTCGAGTACAGGAGAAGAGCCGAGGGGATACACGGCTTTGAGCTCAGGCGGAGAGAGTAGCGGCGAGCGTTGGTAGAGCTTCAGTTCATAGGGAATGTTGAGCTCTTCGAGAAGCCATGGAATGCGCTCGCCTTGGCCGACCTGGAGATGGTGCACGACGAGCTTTGGGGAGGACATTTTGGAATTTGGTATAAATTCGATGGTGTTTGTGCAAGAGAGGGGTATGATGATCTTTTGAGATTTCAACTCTTTTGATATCCTCGGGTCTCGGTGATCGCCGTATCCGGTAAGTAGTTTCTACTGTGGGCTCCGCTGACTCTGATTCGATAGATCGGCTTCGAAAAACGATGGATAGGTCTTTGTGACTTCCATCTTGACCTGTCTGGTCATTTCTGTCCTTTATATCTGGATTCATTAGGCAACTAAGTTTTGTCTTGCGTAGGATTGGTTCAACCTCTCCGTCTGACATGTTGTAGCTGACAATCACACTACGGGGAGGGGGAGACTCGGCCGAACTACATCATGACGAGTATTGATTGGCCAGATGTTACTACACCCTGTATGCTGCAACTTTTTGTCCGAGCGCAAATTCTGGAGATACCGCTTGCATGTTCCTGAAACCGGGACCGTTGAAGATAAATTATTGTGATCTTCTGCATGCAATGCGCTGCATGATGCATCACGAATCTGCATCGCTCACAATCGATAATGCGTGGAAGAAGATGGGGATAAAGGAATTGATATATATTCGAAAATACAAAGAGCATCTTTGGAGACGTTCGAAATCGGCTGAACTCAATATTATCTCCGTCAAAGCAGAAACCACCACCCGATCGTATCTTGTCCTCAACACCCTCAACCACCCAATAAATCCCCTACCCCACCCGTCTATCCACCACCTCAAACTCCACCCCATACTTCCCCACCACCCAATTCACCCTCTCCACAACCTCCAAGCACGACTTACAAACCCTCTGACTAACAAAAATCCTCACCACCCCGCCTTCGACCCCCGGACACACCTTATACGCCCCCGGCTCATCAAAATCCCCCATCTCAAACCCCGCAGACCCCAAGTACCGCGTCAACCAAAAAGCAATCAATTGCATCTCTGCATGCATCGCCCACCGGCGCTCCAGCTCCAGCCCCAACATCTTAGAAAGTAGCACGGCTTGTTGCGTCCAGATGTCGCCATCGATGAAGTCGGTGCAAGAGTCGGGGTTGGGTCCGCATTTTGAGGCGTAGAGCTGACCGAAGAGGCGGACGGCGGCTATGGCGCCGTCGTCGGGGCTTTCGTAGGGTTGGCCGGTTTTGTCCCAGGCTTTTGCGGGGAAGGCGTATGTTTTGGAGAGTGTGACGTTGAGGGTTACGTGAGTGGAGTAGTCGGTTTGGCGGTAGGCTTTTGAAAAGGATATGTCGGTGAGGGTGGGGAAGTTGGTTCCTGAGAGGGAGATTTGCTCGATGGTGGTGCGATTTCGTAAGTGTTGGGTTTGGTGTTTTAGGGAGTCTAGTTCTTCGCGGCATGTGGATAGTTCATCTTCTTTTTCCTTGAGGTCGCTTTCTGCTTCGATTCGTCGTGAGACCTCTTCGTTCCATTTTGCCTTGTATTTTTCTAATTCTTCCCTTAATCTCTCATTTTCAAGTGAAAAAATTTCTAGTTTAGATTGCGTTGAGTCCACCACCGGTGGACTATTGGTCGTATTATTGTTGACAAGCTCGGAATGTGAGTCTTTGCGCAGCTGAGAAATGTCTCCAACAGCCGTTTCTTTGTCCTTTGCACCCAAAGACTGCGTCTTCTCTACTGAACTGCCACGTGACTGATCTACGTGCTGAATTTTAATACGCCGAGTAAACTTCGCAATTGGTCTCTGCGAAACACTACTACTACCGCTCAACGACTTGTTTATGCTATTCTTGACAACGCACGCCTCCTCAGTCGACTGTTTTAGGTCAAGTGCAGCGATTCCCGCAGTAAGAATTTTAGTCACATCTTCAGTCATCTCGGGGTGCCTAATCCAAATAAAACAAATAGCTCCAAGTGGCTATAATTTTGTTCTTTTTGGAGGAATAGAGCAATGATGCAACGACTAGGCAACAGCAACTTCGGCTCAGCCTTGCGACCTCCCCTCGCCAAGCCGCATGATCCTGATCCAATCACCCGTTGCGTACACACGCCATCTTGCCAACTTTATGTAACAGGTAACTTGAACGCCTGAATTGGCCTTGCACAACATATTGACCGGTGGCATACGTGTCAATACGGAAGCAATTTGTTCATGCAAGGCTGATCAGGGCTTGGCTCCGCTGAAGACATATGGTTATAGGATCGTAGGTAGCGAATAACGACTTGGCAAATTCTCTAGAACCGCGCGCGATAAATTCTCAATCAGTAGATTTTGCCACGTGATACGTGTGAGAGTGGCTGGAAAGTTTCTGGCTAAAGGCGTGGTAGTTGAGTTGCTTCTTTTTGGACCTCGCACATACTCTGAAAATCGTGATTTCTGCTGCATTCGGAATGTCCTAGAGCGCGATACATTGTTAGCTGTGCGATAATTCAGAGTAAGTTTGGTCGCTTCTTCCACTTTGCCCATTCTATTTATCTCTGTTACTCCATGAGGTTGATCGAAAGTTTGGAAAAGAATTAAGGCTCGAGATGTTTTTTTTTGGGAAGATCGATGGGCATCAGGGCTGTTAGAATTTCAGAGTATTCCATTCACTCTCTGAGATTGAGCAAGAAATTACACGTGAGAAATACATACTAAATTGATACAATTTTAGATCGCATATGAAAACCGTTGAAGTTCATACCCATCAGTATCGGATACATTGGAAACGACGGTCGATTTGATCTCATACTCAGAGAAAACAAGCCCATCACCACCTCAGGAATTTGTGACAACCCTTACAAACGGCTCAGCCTCTAGTCACTCTCTTCTCCATGATCTTCTCCACAATCTTCCACTTCATCTACATCCTCGTCGGTTGTATACCATCCCTCGCTATCAGCGTCCTCATAATCATCCGACCAACTTGCGTCACTTTCACTATCCGAATCAGTTTCCTCATCCGTTTTTTCATACGGCTCTTCCAACGTGATACCCATACGAACCAATTCAGCTTCGTAAGTAGCCTTGTCGGCCTGTCGCTCGCGGCGCATCTTTCGCATTCGAGGCCTCCATACTCGATTCATGAAAGTGACAAAAGGCTTCTTGTATCCAGCCCATTTCTCTTCCAACTCCACGACAACTTTCTCAAGAAGTTCAATGTCGTCGCGCTCGAGATCATGGATTTCCTCCACTTCTTCGGGCGTCGGGCGCGTGAATCTTCCCCATAACTCATCTCGAATTCGATAACAACAAGTATGTGTGAGTGACAGTTTCTCAAATGTCAAGACTCGAAGTATCGCAGAAGCCATCCGTGAGTTGTTGTGGTTGTTGTCGACAAAACTGAAAAGGTATGCCTGCTCCTTTCGCAAATAGTATATTCGGAATTTCCTTCCAATCGCACACCCTAGTACACTACAACCATCTTGTGAGCAGTAACACTGACAATTGTCATTATTTTCTGATGATAGAAGCATTGAGAAATCTTCGCTGTACTCAGATTCCAATGTCAGGATATCCAAAATTTCTCGAAAAAGCAAGTGAGCCGGGGTCGTGAGATGCATTGGATGCAACCAAAAAGGGTCAGCACCATGCCTCATGAGCCAGCTGAAAGATGCAAATACTTTGGGACTCCACCCGGTGTATGATAAAAGTGCTATAGCCCAAAGGGGGGTGCCAATTCGACTTTCTCGGGGAAGCCATGAATTGTTAGCAAAGCCGATGGATTCCAATCCGCGGTGACCTGCCTGCCAAGCGGATTGCATCGATAAGACTGTCGAACATGTATCGTGATATAGCGACGAGGTCTCGTCGGTTATGTTGACACTTTCAAAACCCCTGGTACTAATTTGATCATCTGAACCAGTGTTGTCGTCTTGGTAGAGATGACTCGCGATGCGATGGTAAATCTTGGTCAACGAAAGATTGGTCTGTCTGTCATGACCCTCAAATTCGAAGAACTGCCGTGTTATGTCGTTCCAAGTTCTCCGTGTTATAGGAACTTCGTAGTTCAACAAGACCTCGATGGACTTGATATTCTTCATTACGATAGCCGCGTACAAGAGCTTTTTTAGAAGATTTTGTGATAAATTTACGTTGGGATTAGATAGCATTGTGCTCAGGCCTCCAGGCCATGATGCTAGCGCATACACAGAATCGAATCTCGCGAACAAAGACACCCAGGTGTCAACACCTGGAGCTTTCAGGCGAGTAGCGAAGTCGAGTTCTGACCTTCGCAATATGACCTCATGTTGGAAGTCATCAGTGAATGCTAGAAGCAATAGTGAGACAGAATGTAGAGATGGAATCTGGAGTTGCTAGCTGTTAACTTACTGTTGGAAAACGACTCTAATTGTAAAAGAGCTGACATGTTGTCAAAGACTATCTGATATGAAGGTATTTTCGATTTATATTGTGCAAGTCGTGAGAAAGACCAGCCTTCTGCCCTCTGTGCAAGACAAAATAAGACATGGCCATAGAGCAACTTCCATTCCTTTACATAGTAAACGTACTCCAATGGTTTTGAAAGCCAATACTCTACCGGGGTGCTGTCTCAGTTAGTAGGCTTAAGCAATGAGCTTTGGAGAATTCACCTTCCCTCGGCATTTTGATCGTCAAAGGGTACACCTGCGTCGAAACACAGATCAATGATCTCAGGCACAGTGCTCATGAATTTCTCTCTAGAGTCCACCCAATTTATTGCCACATCCATCAGGTCAAGAACAGCCCGTGTTTCATTAGTTTGTGGGAAATAAAAATGGCGCAAACACATACATATAAAATCCCGTTTCCGTTCGTATCAAGATCAGTAGGACAAGCGCCCTTTCGAAACTCTTGTTGAAGTTCAGGTGCAACTGTTACAAAACTGGTTGCCATATTGCGACGTATTGGCCTGGAGGTATTCCGATACACAATGCTCTTAATTGCAGACCCTAAGATTCTGAACACCGGCGAGTCACTCGGAACCACAGCCCGATATCTTAGCACGGGTGCTAGTGAATTCCAGCCCCCTTTTCTCGAATACTGCCAACCTATCTGCACACAGAACTTTAGCAAATTTTTATAAATAGAAAGCTGGACAGCAACGGATCTAGTGTAGTCCCCGTGTGCGAATCGAGGACAGTCTTTGTGATGATCATAAACTTCATCCGTCAGGACCTTGTACCATCTTCCGGACTCAACTTTCCGCTTCCGTTTTGAGTGACAGTGGTATGAATTAGATTTCCTAGTTTGGATGAAGCCGCTTTGTTTTGAAAGCTGGGATGTACGCTCATGGGCTCCTTCGTGCGGGAAGGCATATACTGTTGATGACGATGTGAGGGTCAACTTCCGCGAGGACGAGTCGCTATTCGCCTATTTTAGCATTAGCATCTACAGATTCTAAGGCTGGGTCTTGAACTTCTCACCAATGGATATCAGCCAATCTCCCCAGATACACCGTCTTCTAAAAGGTGAGCTCGTAGAATCATGATTTCATTGTATATTTTCGACAGATCAGGGCCTTGCGAAGCAACGTCTCGACGAATCATTTGCAGCGCTTCTGTATGTTGGTTGAGGGTCTGTTCTACCCTAACCGCTTGTTGTTGTTGAACAATGAACTCAGAATGTAGGTCTCTCAGCCGACGTAACGTGCCGTCAAGGCCAGCACACTGTAGAGCCAGAGCTAGATTCTCCTGGAACCTTGTAAGCGATGATTGCACCTCTTTGAGATCTTCTTTCCTATACGGCCAGAGGATCCTTCCCTTCATAGCTCGAAGTTGAGTTTGAACACCATCTAATTTTGAAGCGGGGTTTCGTTTCTCTACCATCCTCGTAAGTTCGTGCAACATTTCTTCGCATTCCTTCAGTGCCATGTGTAATTGTGAAGACGGCGTGTGATTGTCGATTTCCAGTTGTTCTTTGACCTCATGGAGCCCTTCCAGGATACCCTCAAGGCCTCTAATTTGTCTTCGAATGTTCTCAACATCGCGAGGGAAGCTTTTAAACTCGGAGCAGTAATTGTAGAGAATTTGGCAAGTCTGCAGACCAAGTGAGATTATGCCGACAGCAGTACCGGCGACTGAGAAAGGGTCTGCCATGTTAAGGAGGAAGGAGTCAATTGTCCAGTTTACAAGCGAGCTAGGAGAAAGCCTATCTAACCTTCTCATGCAAGGCTGAAACACGCAGGGAAACGTGGGGCCAATGTGGCTATGGCAGTCAATCAGCCTTGCGTTATGGCATTCGACACTGAAGTATTTCCATAGGACGAGCGTGATGATACGCAAATATTTTAGCTGGAACAGTGCCCATGGCTTGGGTAAACGGTCTGGACGGAATCGTGGACTCCTTCCTACGGATTGTTACTTTTGTAATTGTGGCCAGCTGAAGACCCCGCTTCATGATCGCTTGTTCCTTCTGTGATCCTTCATACATGTAGTGACACCCAATCGATATGCATGCCAGAATTGGCTACAGGATGCTACCGACCAATTGAAAGAGACAGCTCGCTTCTGTTTTCGCAAACATCGTCACAGGCTGGAGGGCACACTCCCTCACTAGCGCCTTCGCGACGTGATGCATGCATGATTCCGCCCCACCAACACTCCGCTTCGACCACGCATCAACCCCTCCACGACGCCAACCCAATCCCCCAACCCGACAATGGCGCGCGGCAAACTGATAGTTTTCGAGGGCTTGGATCGCGCAGGGAAATCTACGCAGTGCGAGAAGCTTGTTGCGGATTTGCAAAATGATGGCGTCAAGGTGCGGCACATGCGGTTTCCTGGTACGTGTATGCCCTCATAGGGAAATTTGGTAGTAAATGGTTGCAAAGAAGAAGCAGCGATATGGAGATCAATGGGTCAAAGGAACAAGACTGATGGTGTAATCAGATCGAACGACACCGATCGGACAGATGATTAATAGCTATCTGAGTGGGCAAAGCGACCAGGAGGATCATGTGATTCATCTCTTATTCTCTGCCAATCGATGGGAAGCAGCGTAGGTTATCAACAACTTCCGAATGAGCTATTGAAACTAATTACAACTGAAGCCCATCTATTCGAGCAGAGCTTGCTGCTGGTACTACGGTCATTATTGACCGTTATTACTACAGCGGATGCGTGTATTCGGCTGCCAAGCAGAACCCCAACATGAGCCTCGAGTGGTGTCGGAAACCTGATGTCGGACTCCCACGACCAGACCTGTGTCTCTTTCTCGATATTTCTGCCGATGATGCGGCGAAGCGAGGTGGCTTTGGCACGGAAAAGTACGAAAAGAAGGACATGCAGGACCGCGTGCGAGAGCTGTTCGAGACGTTGATGCAGAAGAAGGAGGGCGAGGACTTTGTGCGCATCGACGCGGGTGCCAGTCTTGAAGAGGTGGCAGCAAAGGTCAGAGAACAGGCCGATCGGTGCATTGAGCGAGTGGCGAAAGGACGATTGCCGCTACGAACAGTCGAAGAATGGTAAACGTATTCATCCATTGTTTGACGCTAGCATCTTATCGTCATCCTCGTTCACGTTCTCGACCCACGTCTCATCGAGGTCTTCGTCAAACTCAGCATCCAGGTCGTCAATATCAGGAAATTCGTCGACCTCTTCTACGGCGCTACCCTCTGCTTTCTTTGTCCGCTTTGTCTTGAACATGGCTTTGATCTCCTCCTGGCCATGCACCCTTAGGCTCAATTCTTTCATCATGTCAGACCATCTGAGAACGGTATGGCAGCTTGGGCACGTTCCCTCAATCGGAATGAGTGCGTCTTTGTTACCTTCTTCTGCAAGGAATCTTTGCGATAGACAGGCCACATGTGAGACGGAACGGCAGGCCTCCATGGGGCAGATCGACACAAGTGTTTTCTCTGCATTCGCATTTTTCTTGCAAACAGTGCAAGCTCTCTTTTGACCGTCTGCAAGCATGCTTCTTGATTTTTCGACGTACGACTTGCAGTCTTCGTATGCAACTGGAATTGCTCGTATGACGTTAGGTATGAAATGTGTGCGCATTTCATTTTGGACATCTGACGCGAGGATCGGAAGCTCGGCTGGCGTTAGTCCAACCGTGATGTAAGTTGGCAGCTTTGTCTTCATCTTGGAAATGTGTCTTTCCCACTGCGCGAAGACGTCAGGGGCAAAGAAGCGGATGTGTAGGGGCCATCGGCTGAAACTCCCAACCCCTAACAGATGATGCAAATTTTTCAATCGTGCCTCGAGGGACATTGGTGGGCGGGGTCTCTTAGCGGGCGAGGCATTCTTTTTACCCTTGTACAATTCGTCTCGTCTTGCATCGCGTACATCTCGCTCGATGTGGCGAGTCGCGTGGGTGTTTTGCCACGCCCACTCGAACTGCAGGGCGGCTGACTTGGAGGGGAACCCTGTGACGATGCAAGTCATTTCCCATGGCCGCTTCCCTTGCATTGAGGTTCGCTTTGCGCCGCCCTTGGTAGATCCATTGTGCTGGCCCAGACGACGTGCCGGATTAGGCGTGCTGCCGATGTAAAAGGCCTTGCGGTTCTTGGAGCGAAGCAGATAGCAGCAGTAGAAAGCCGGGATAGGTCGACTTTCTATTTTGATAGTACTGGCCATTGGACGACCTGGCAAAGGGCGTGAGGTTGAGGCAGAGTGTTGTTGTCGATGGCATCTAGAAGCGGCAACGGCCACTTAGGGCTGACGGGATGGTGCAGATGGGCAGCGCTGTGATTGGCGGGGCCGGGGTGGTTCCCGATGCGACAACCTTGCGCTCGGCCTTCTTACCTGTAGTGCCCATGGATCCCACGACTGTCTGTTGCAGAAACGCGATGCTTGATGACAGCCAGTCTTGTGTCCGATACGGCTAATGAATTAAATCAGCATGAACTGACGATGCTTACAGTTTGGTTCGGCAGTCTTGAAATGGGCGGCGACGCAGCCAGCACTTTGTACGTGCCGGCTGGAACATGTTATACAATGAATGAACCTGCCCAGCCATTGACCAGGCGTACAGACAGGGGGTGTGTGCGCGAGCATAAGGTGTAGGAGCCGTCATGCCGTGGCCAAATGGGGGGCGTGTACGAGGTCTGATGCCATCCACCATGACTACCGCGGCCGCGCCCTTTTGATATTGTTCAAATGGACACCAGTGCCATGGGTGAACCAACCCCAAAAACACGGGGCAGTATGGCGCAGGCACCATTGGGATTTCGCACACGCGACCGATGATCGCGCACCGCCGGAATAAGCGTCGATGGATTTGAGTTCGGTACCTTGGGTGTGATAGTGCATCCGCCGCTAGCGAGGCATAGTAGGGAACCTCTCGCACCTTTCAGCGGCCCCATCCATCCTCCTCATACCTCGCCGCTTCCCACGAGACCGCGCCACACATACGTACCTGTCCACACCCACGTTCGTCGCCATTACCTAGGCCTACCATCTTCCGGGCGTGTCATTCTACACAAGACCAGTGAACTCCACGGCCCGACTTGGGTCAAAAGCGGTCGCTTGCCGCTCCAGAGCCTCCATGACTGCAGATATATCCCCTCGATAGCGCCCACCACCACCGACAAACCCAATCCCGACTGCCATCGCCTTATCTAGAAATACCCCCTTCACCGTCGCGAGGCCGCAAATAATCCCCACCACTTGTCCTGCCAGGTGTAACGAGTAGGGAAACGGCCATGGTCGACTTTATACCCCAAGCCGGGCCTCCCACAGGCGCTACAATGACTACCTTTCGGGTCGCCACGGACAATGGAGCGTCGGACGGAGCCCCTGGAGCATCAAAGTCAAAAACGAGCGGCGGCGCGACACCTGCCACGAACGGCGCGCAACCGAATGGGGCAGGCACCATCCCTCTGAGCGCGCGTAAGGCAGCACCACTCGATCTCGCTACGGTGGAGCGCAGAGGGCATGGAGCGCCAAACAACCTGCCGCCTAAACAGAACCGTCTCTTCGGCCTGCGCGAAGCTCCTACCTATCGACCGACCACCGAGCAGTTCAAGGACCCCGTCAAGTACATCCAGAGCATCCGTGAAGAGGCGCAGAAGTACGGCATTGTCAAGATTGTTCCGCCCGACAGCTGGAACCCAGGTTTTGCAATAGATACAGAGGTGAGTGCACGCGCTATACCCGATTGCGCCTGCGCCCATCTTTACTGCTGTTAAGATGAATTGTTTTTGAGCCAAGCTGATGCGGAACAGCGCTTTCATTTTCGCACGCGACGTCAGGAACTGAATTCCGTCGAGGGGGGTATGTACCAGTCAAACTTTGCCTTATTAACTCAAGTCTGATCGGGGCTAGGTACACGTGCCAATCTGAATTATCTGGATCAGCTCGCCAAATTTCACAAGCAACATGGCCACAGTCTCACACGCTTCCCAAGTGTGGACAAACGGCCATTGGACCTTTACAAACTCAAAAAGGCCGTTGAGAAGAGGGGTGGCTTTGAACGTGTCTGCAAGCAGAAGAAATGGGCTGAAATAGGACGCGACCTTGGCTACAGCGGCAAGATAATGTCTTCGCTGTCTACATCCCTTAAAAACTCGTACCAAAAATGGCTGCACCCGTACGAAGAGTATCTACGGTTGGTGAAACCGGGTGTGCAGCAGATGCTGGAATACGAGCACGGCGGACCGTTCACACCCTCACCAGCACATTCGCCTGTCAAGAAATCGCTACAGGGCACACCTGCAGCCAATGCCACCGAGTCGCCTGCTATGAAGGCCTCAGCAGCTCTCAACGCGACTCTGCACAGTGAATCAGCTCCAACCCCGCCGCCCGAGCTCCCAAAACCAGCCATGCAGTCGGGCTTTACACCAGTAAATTCCGGCGGCTTTACAGCGGTTAACGCGCATCCACCACTTAAGCCAACTACGCAGCCCTCCACCCCAAGTTCCTTTGCAGTAGTCAACGCACCAAGCAGTATGCATCGAGATGTGCTGGAGTCACGCACTTCCACGCCGTTGCGCAACGTTGGCAGCCCAATGTTGTCAGCTGACAACACTCCTGATTTGCGGCCATCAGGTATCGGCTCGACGCCATTGTCCAATGGACATCAATTCAACCAGCTGAAGCGCACCCTATCCCAAGATGCAGATAGCAGTGCAAATGATGATGCAGACGAGGCAAATGGCAGGCGCAGTAAACGACTGAAGAAAGACGCTGCCCCCACTGTGGCCGGCTCTCACATGACTCAGCCTCGCCAATCCACGCCAGGCCGATCATTCCCTCGTGTTCGTGCCGCAGACGAGCGCCCCGGCGATCGCTGCGAAAATTGCGGTACCGATAACGACCCCTCAAACATCTTGCTATGTGACAGTTGCGACTCTGGCTATCACGGCTACTGCTTAGATCCACCAATCAAAGGCATTCCTGCCTACGACTGGCACTGCCCACGCTGTCTGGTAGGCACAGGCGAATTTGGGTTTGAAGAAGGGGGCATATACTCGCTCAAGCAGTTCCAGGAGAAAGCGCACCAGTTCAAGCAGGGCCATTTTGCCACCAAAATGCCCTTCGATCCAGTCACTAACGCACCAAGACCGGTCACAGAAGATGACGTTGAACGCGAATTCTGGCATTCAGTTGCGAACGTGACAGAGACCGTTGAAGTAGAATATGGAGCAGACATTCACTCGACGACTCACGGCAGCGGATTTCCAACCATTGAGAAGAACCCACGAGACCCCTACTCTACGGACCCGTGGAACTTGACTGTTTTGCCGTATGCGCCAGATTCGCTGTTTCGCCACATCAAGTCCGATATCTCAGGGATGACAGTGCCTTGGTTGTATGTGGGAATGGTTTTCTCAACTTTCTGTTGGCATGCCGAGGATCACTATACGTACTCTGCAAACTACCAACACTTTGGAGCTACCAAGACCTGGTATGGTGTGCCAGCCGAGGACACCGACAAGTTTGAGCAAGCTATGCGTGAAGCAGTACCAGAGCTGTTTGAAAGCCAGCCTGATCTCTTGTTTCAACTCGTGACTCTTCTCACTCCCGAGCAACTATTGAAAGCTGGAGTCAAGGTTTATGCAATTGACCAACGTGCTGGCGAGTTTGTGATAACCTTCCCCGAAGCTTACCATGCTGGCTTTAACCATGGCTTCAATCTCAACGAGGCGGTGAATTTTGCGCCAAGCGATTGGGAGCCATTTGGGGAGCATGGTGTGCAGCGTCTCCAGGACTATCGACGTCAACCGTGTTTCTCTCATGATGAGCTACTGCTAGCTGCGGCCTCGCGCAAGGATACGACCATCAAGACGGCCAAGTGGCTTGGCCCTGCTATGCAGCGGATGCGCGATCGGGAAACGCGATTGCGGAGAGAATTTCTCGAAAAACATAAAGCTGCTAAAACGCACACTTGTAAAGTTGATGGCAGCAGTAAAGCGGATGCGCCCTGTGAACTTGACTTCATCATCGACGATGCTGACGTGCACGAGGATGAACTAATCTGTGCTTTCTGCAAGTGCTACGGCTATTTGTCTCGCTTCTATTGCCGTAACACGAAGAAGGTCTTGTGCCTACAGCATGCTGGATGGTTTGAGTGTTGTTCAGATCTTCCAGAGGCTGATCGTTACTCCGGAGCCAAGGGCCAGCATATGCTTATATATCGCATGCAAGAGGATGCTCTGACGGCGCTGGTTGAGAAGATTGTGGACAAGGCAAGCACACCCGAAGTCTGGGAGTCCAAGATGGAAAGTCTCCTTGCCGAGGGACCACGACCGCAGCTAAAGTCTCTGCGTGCACTTTTGCACGAAGGAGAAAAGATTGACTGGGAGCTGAATGGTCTTCAAGACCTAAAAGACTTTGTTGAAAAGTGTCAAGAAGTAGCTGACGAAGCGGTCCTGTACACAACTAGAAAGCTGCAGGCTCGCCGCAAAGCCGAACGCCCTGGTAGGGGAAGACCCAGCAAGTCCGCTATTGCAGAGGCGGATGAGAAAGAACGCGAGTACCGCAACGTTGAGAACATTCAGAAACTTCTTAACCAGGCCAAAGATTTAGGATTCGACAGCCCAGAGATTACCACACTCCGAGAACGCGCAGAAAGCATTGTGGAGTACCAGAACAAAGCGCGGACTGCCTTACGCGACCGGCCTGCTGAGCAGAGCATTGCACGACTTGATGAGCTCCTCGAAGAGGGCAAGGGCTTCAATGTCGACCTTCCTGAGCTTGAATCGCTCGAAAAGGTTGTACAACAACTGAGATGGCTACAAGAAGCACAGGATTTCAGAGTCAAGCCGGCACCTACTCTCCAGGAAGTCAGTGATCTCATCAAAAGCGGCATCGAAGTCGGAATGCCTGAGCACCATCCGGACCTTCAGTTCTTGCAAGACAAACGCACGCAAGGCGAGTTCTGGGAGAAAAAAGCAAAAGAGCTTATGGAAGTGGAGCATGTGCACTATCAACAACTCGACGCTTTTTCCAAGCAAGCGACTAACTTGCCGGTGACACCGGAGACACGAGCGGCCATGGATGCAATTCTCAAGAAGCAGCGGGACGCGCAGGAGCTCATCATGTCCTTGTATGAGCGAAGCAAGAACCCAGACTTCACCCAGCGACCCCGATATATGGAAGTTCGCAATGCCATGGAAGGGCTGAACGCACTGAACTGCAAGCCAGCTGGGACCAGCGACCTGGAGAAAGAACAAAAGCGTCATGAGGACTGGATGCGGCGAGGCAAGAAACTCTTCGGCAAAGCCAATGCACCGCTTCACATCTTACATGCGCATATGAAACAAGTAGATGAGCGCAATCGGGCTTGTTTTGACCTTTCTGACCAGCCCCGCATGCCAGTGGAACCTGCTTCGCGTGAACAGAGTCCAGCAGAAGGAGAAGAGGTGGATGGTTCCGGGTCGAGCCGAGACGTCTTTTGCATCTGCCGTAAACCCGAAGCTGGTATGATGATTGAATGCGAATTGTGCCACGAATGGTAAGTTTACCGGATAGTGCTCTTGAATAGCGTTCGCTAATAAAAACAGGTACCATGGCAAGTGCCTGAAGATTGCACGCGGAAAGGTCAAGGAGGACGACAAGTACACATGCCCAATCTGTGACTACCGCGTAAAGATTCCGCGTGATGCAACCCGACCGAAACTCGAAGACTTGCAGTTATGGCAGGACGAGCTTCAAGGACTGCCATTCCAGCCAGAAGAGGAGGAGACACTCGAGTCGCTCATTGAACATGGCACCAAATTCCGCGATTACGTGGCGCGATATATCAACCCCATGATGTCAAGCCCCGATGAGCTTACTACACAGCGATTCTATCTGCGGAAACTTGAGGGCGCCGAAATTCTCCTTGCGAATGAGATCAACTTCTTCCGTCAAGAGCTACACAGATGGGCACCCGTTGCACCAACACCGCCACCGATCCTACAAGTATCTCTCTCGACGCGGAAGCCTCGGCCGACAAAGCAGCAAAAGCTGATGAACCAATTGGGAATAACTAATCCAGAGGATCTTCCACAGCACTTGAGGACCAAGGCGCATCAGTTCAAACGCAAGGAAGGAGATGTCACCAAACCCTCGAGTCCACCACCAGGATCTGGCGAACAATCACACACGCCACCTGGAGAACCTCGCCAAAGCCAAGGCGACAGTGAGTACTTTAATCCGGCTACTACGTCGGCATACAACAACTCTCCGACGTTTGCTACGACGGCCCCTCTTAACTTTGGCGGAGGCTCTTCTATCGCACCAATCGATCCAGGTCTTTTTGAGAGCTCAGGGCCAGCAGGCCCGACTAGTCCGATGCAAGATCCATTCAAGAGCTCGGTCAGTGGGCACGAGATGTTTGGGGAAGCGATGGAGATGGGCGGTGGCCAGGCCGAGGAAGCCTTGGCCGTCACTGAAGGCAACAACTACGAGGATTAGTATTCCGTTGATTACGATGTTGCTTCCCCTGGCGCAGGGCGTAATTTCTTTCACGCATAATAGGACGGCGTTTCGGCATTTCTTATCTCAGCCGTTGTACACTAAGGGTTTGTTACTGTTTCCGCATGCTTTCCTACGATGGCATTCCCTGCTTAAGCGAAATTTTCTTTATTTTTTCATGGATATACGTGGGATATTGTAGGTGGATTTTTGGGCTGCTGTTCTGTTCGACTGGTGGTACTTGTTGCATGCAGATGAGGTGTTGAGGGGGTCACGACAGAGCAATGCGGCCAACATACCCATAAAAGGCGCGTAGTAGACTAGTCGTTGTTGTTTTGATTTACTCTTCATCGATAACGAAGAATTGGTAATTACCATGCTAAAAAATTGAGCGCTATGCGGTGCAAGTTGTTGGCTGGGTGCAGACGAAGTGATGATGCGGGGATCTCGGAGGTTTGCATGGTAGCGCAACCAAACTACTGACAAAGGGCCCGTGCACGACATTTCTGATGGCGGTTCTGGTGCCATCAGCATCATTCCTGACCTCGGACGACACACTGCAATGCTGCCAAGTAGAGGGCTGCGGCCTGCCCAAATTGTGCCCTTGGCCTCGCGACAATCATCAATACTTAGATCAACAGCTACAAGGAAGGTGCGCACACCCAATGGTTCAATTGCTCGCTTCGTGCCATCTGCCCGCCCGCGTCCTGCCTAGCGAAGCCACACGACTTCGCACCCACAACTACTCCCTTGTCACCACTTGAGCTGTATCTTTGGCGAGATTCTCTTTTTGAGATACTAACTGTAGCAGTTCTCGTCGCTTCCCCGTACAGCTGGCCTCGCTTCACAGTCATGTCGAACAAGCCCGCTCCAACCTGTACAGTGGAGGAAGGGTGCGGCCGGGACTCATAATGCCATGCTGAGCGCTTCGTCTGTCCGATATGCTTCATGGTACGCGCCTTGGAGCTGGGGTAGTTCCGCCAAACCTGCCGACGCCAGTTCCGCTCTGCCCTCGAATCAAGTCCCAATTGCCGAATTCTCCCACCGTCATACGACCGAGTTTGCAAAGCATGCAGAACCTGCCGTGAGCACAGCCACTCCCGAACTTGCGCCTGCAACAATTGATAAACCCGCTGTCGTGGATGGGGTGTCGAGCTCAGCCAATACGGTTGCAGAGAATGCGTCTATTATCGGCGAATCCAAGACGCTTGACAATGTGCTTGAGAGCGATCCAATCAAAGATACACTCACTGCCGAAATCGATCCTACTCGCCTTATTGACCACGCCGGACAACTGAAGGAACTAGGCTTAGACTACGGCTGGGGGATGACTACGCTTTTTGAAAAGTGCATCGAGACTATTTACCTACAGTCAGGTTTGGGCTGGGCCGGATCCATTCTGATTGCTGGTGTAGTAGTGCGTGGAGCAACGTTTTTTTTCCAGGCTCTTAGCTCAGACAAGATGGCAGCCATGGCCGCTCTAGCACCTGTGACAAAGCCTCTACAGGACAAGATGGAGGCTGCCATTGCGCGGGGTGATAAGCAACAGGCGGATCTATACAGGATGCAACAGGCCGAAATCATGAAACCGTACGTCGGAGGCATGGCTTCCATGGGAGGTTTCATGTTCATGCAAGCCTGGATTGGATTCTCAGCTTTCAGGTTTCTGAGAGCTATGGGCGAGCTGCCTGTGCCTGGCATGGAACAAGATGGTTTCTTGTGGTTTACTGATTTGACTTCGCGTGACCCATACTTTCTTTTGCCGGCTGCGACAACGGCCGTCATGTACACTGTCTTCAAGGTATGTATATTTGCATGGCTACAAAGAATGGAGAGTTAATCTGTTTCTACAGAATGGAGGCGAGGTCGGTGTACAAAATGACGTCGGTCAGGCTGCACAACGCCAAAAACTATTTACTGGTCTTGCAGTTGTGCTCGGTCTGGTGACTGCTTTCCAAGCCGCAGCTCTACAACTTTACTTCCTTGTGTCTGGTGTCATGGGTGGTATTACTGGTTGGATGCTGCGTCAAAACGGCTTCCGGCGCATGATTGGTATCCGCACCCTACCGAGCAAAAAGAGCAACGAGCTCTACACCAAGGTGGCACAAGGCGAGCTGAAGTTGAACGACATCAAGGGACCTGACGGCAGGATCCGCTACCAGCCGCCCACTCCCATCCGTAAAGCTCCCGCTAACCGCCGCCAAATCTCTGGCATCAACATCAAGCCCGGCGTGGCTATCCCTGCACATCTCCAGGCTGAGGCGCCTAAGGTGGACCGTACCCGTCCCGACCGCGATGTTGATTTCGAGGAGGGTGCAGCGGGTAAGCCGATGATGGAGAAGCTGGATTACTACAGGAGGAACTACCGACTCAGCTACATGTGGCGTAGGTTCAACGACAGCGCCGAGTCATGGACGAGGAAGATGGGCTACGGAGGTAAGAAGATGACTACCGAGGAGGCCAAGAGAAAGAGGAAGGCCGAGGAGTATGAGATTGAGCGTCGACGGAGATTTGAAAACAGGTCGTAAGGAAGTGCAAGGTTGCGTGGGGCAGAAAGTGAGTGTATGATACGACTGAACTTGAGGCCTGTGTTCTCAACGTAACAGACACAAGGGAGGAAAAGTTCACAGAAGGAGGAGGTTGGGGAAATGCCATTTTGTAGTATAGTGGTGTCTTTGTACAGATATTGGAATGCATGTATGCTCCTGAATGACACATTTTTCTCTCTTCTTCTTCTAAACTCAAACGCCGACATTGCAATCGACTCGTGGGTATGTATATCTGTATGCACACTGCCTCGACCCTGAAACCATCCCTTCAGCCCAATGCCTACTCCAACGAGGTATACATGTCGAGTTCCTGCCCATTTCGCCGCCTCCGCTCCACAGGATCCGCACGCATCTCTACACCCGGTCCCACACGTCGACCAGTCGAAGATCCCAATCGGTGACTTGGAAATATCTGATACCTTGCATTAGCGATTGCCTCTTTCCCCCTTTCCCCTTTCCCCCTTTTCTCCACCTCCCATCCTTCAAAAACGCAAACAAACAAACAAAGAAAGAAAGGGAAGAAAAAAAAGAAGAAGCAAAGACGAAGGAAGGGATATCAAAACATACCTTTGTACCCGACCAACCCAACCGATATGCCGCCTCATTCGCCACTAGCTCCCCGAACCCCAGCATCAACCCATTTACAAACGGTAGCAGCAGGTTTATGGCGGCGCCGCGTAGTAGGCCCCAGAGCGTGGGCGGCTTGTACAGGATCAAGGGGGAGGAGGTCGAGGAGGTCGAGGCGGGCGAGGGGGAGAGGTCTGGGTTTGCGTCGTAGGTTTCGCTGTCTGAGGGGATGGTTATGCCGGATTCGGTGAGGGTGTTTGGGGTGGGTGCTGGGGAGGTCATTGTTGTTGTTGTTGTGGTGGTGGTGGTGGTAGTGGGTGTTGGCGTTGGTGAGGAAGAGAGGTGGACGTTGGAGGTTTGAGCCCCACGCGGAGGTGGGTGCGGAGATTGGTGGTGAGGTGGGCCTTTGGGAGGGGGGGAGTTCTATTGCGGGTTGTTTCAATGGGATTCTGGGCGTGGAATTGAGCGAGGTGGTTTGAATGGTTTGTGCAGGGTGGGGATTGGTACCGCGTTAGGGCTGGCCGAGGTAACGGTGGAGTTGGTGTGGTGTTGGTGAGGCTCAATTCAACGTTGGTCTTGGCATTGCGTTCCATGTTGTAAAGCAGTTGCTGGTATTTGAGAGCTTTCTTCAAATAAACTGTTTAGTTGGACTATTCTTACTACAGACGATCAATTCCGGCGAAAGACTTGATTCTATCACATTGCTTTCACAAGTTTGTTTGCCGCAGCTTCTCACTCAACGCGCAAAAGTCCGAGCGACGTCACCAATCGCCGCCTCAGAAGAAACGCCGTGGGATACGTAGACCCCACCCGGGAGCTACAGTACGGTACATTGCCCGAGCTTGCATCAACAACACGGCGTATCTTCCCACCTCGAACCATTGGCAAGCTGTAATGTCTGAAGCTGCCACCGATCGAGACGCCCAGGTTGCGCAGCTCGCTAGCTTGACTGGTCTGGACGCTGCTACGGTATGTGGAAGCTCATCGAAGCTATTGGACCTGCTCACCAACACGCGCAACAGGCAGAACGCTACCTAAACGCTGCCAACGGAGACCTCACTCTTGCAGCCTCGCTCTTCTTCGATCAAACCGCCGAACAACAAGAAGCCGATTCTGAGCCAGACGTCGACATGGCCGGTGACGACGATTCCAACACCAACCCCAGCCAAAACCCGCCTCCTCCATCGGGTGGTGGACGTACGCTTGGAGGCGATTATGTTCCCTCTTCTGCACCGGCAGCCTCCTCTTCTTCATCGTCGCAGCGACCTGCTGGCCGTGGACAGCCGACACAGCGGGGTGTGGCTGGTGCGAGGACCTTGAGGGACTTGCAGTCATCTGGTGGCGGCCAGGGACAGGCTCACGACGATGAAGATGACGAGCATAGCCCCGAGGACGACAGCCAGGACTTCTTTGCCGGTGGTGAAAAGTCTGGCCTTGCTGTGCAGAACCCCAACCAGTCGAACCCACGCGATCAGATCAACAACATTCTCAAGCGGGCGCGACAGTAAGTTGGAGCCCAGTCACTTGTACAAAGCACGGCAGCTAACAGGCACAGAAATGCTCCTCGACCAGGTGGTGACGACGAGCAGCCAGCCAGCTCGCACTTCCGTGGTGCAGGCACAACGCTGGGTGGCGACGATGCTCCTTCGCGTATCGTCCCAGACCCTAACGCGAACATGCCGGCACCACCCCCGCGCGCCCACCGCGAACTCCACCTCTGGCGCGATGGCTTCTCTGTCGACGACGGCGACCTGTTTCGCTACGACGATCCGGCAAACGCACGCACACTGGAGATGATCAACACCGGTCACGCCCCGCTGCATATCTTGAATGTAGAGCACGGACAGGAGGTGGATGTCGAGGTACACGCGCACAAGGACGAGGACTACAAAAAGCCAAAGAAGAAGTACGTTCCCTTCTCAGGCAGCGGAAACCGGTTGGGTAGCCCCACACCTGGCTCGAGTTCAACGGCTGCTACCATACCGGCTGCAGGCTCTAGTAGTACAGGAGCCTCGACGTCCGGGGGCTCTGCGCAACCTAGCGTCGAGGTGGACTCGTCGATACCTACACTCACACTACAGGTCCGCCTCGGGGACGGTACACGATTGACGTCGCGGTTCAACACTACACACACTATTGGCGACGTCTACGACTTTGTGACCAGGGCCAGTACGGCTAGTCAAGGCCGGGAATGGGCACTTATGACGACATTTCCCAGCAAGGAACTAACGGACAAGGGCCAGGTGCTGGGTGACATTGCAGAGTTCAAGCGCGGAGGGGTTGTTGTGCAGAAGTGGAAGTGAAGAATGGTACGGGTACGTCGGTGTGGGCTTGAGGGTTGGGGATTGCAATACCACCGGCTATGGAGGATGAATGCAGAGGCAGATGCAGATGCACGTGCAAGCACAATGGGTGCAGAGGTTGTGTTTGCTGAGTAGCATGTATGATGACGATGATTACGAGCTGCACGATGATAGCCGAATTAGGGAGGGCGTGGTGGCTAAACGGTTGAGAGAATCGGGCAGAGTGTAGTCGGCGCGATGGCGCAACTGCCCGAATAGTATCCATGGAAACATGGGCAAAATCTAAATGTGACATGATGCACAAACTTGGACGGTCAGTCAACACTCAACGGGCACATACTGGGACAGACATTGTGGAGTGCAGCTGCTTTGTGCCATGGTGATTTATTGGCGGAATGTATGTCATGGCATGGTGTGATGCGGTGAGACTTTGGTATGGGGCGTTGTACGAGGGCCGAAAGGACGGTTCCTTTAACCGCTATCGGCGCTCTCTCTCTTTCTCTCTCTCTCTTTCTTTCTTTCTCTTTCTGTCCATCTATCTTTCTCTTTCTCGTGCAGGACCAATCGAGGGGAGACACTTTGTGGGGGGGAGGGGAACTTGCATACATTCACCGAATAGATGCGTACGTACATAGACAGTTAGATATCCGTGCATCGGCTGAATAAGTCAAACCACGACAGAACGCGTGTGGGGACAGTAGCCAGTATGGACGCCTGCTTGCTGTTCATCTTTGCCTCTTATCTTAAATTATGCCGCCTACCAAGACGCCCGCCCAGCCGCACAATTTGCGGCAGCGCACCCCCCCCCCCGCGCGCTCGCGGCTGCGTGTGATTTGAGAGGGAGAATAAGGCCATGTCGTTGAGTAGATGAGCTGGGGCGCATGGTGCGACGGCTCTTCCGCTCGGGAGGTTTTGCGAAACACGCAAGCATCGCCAACGTCGACGACCTGCGACCACTCGAGGGCGGCAGAAGGGTGTCCCAATCCCGTCAGCTTGGCGATCGCTATTTGCGTAACGCGTCAGCACTCTACTCCAACGCCCAGCTGCACGGGGCGGGAGGCGGCACAGGGCATGGGGGTTCGGTGTCAAAACCCATGGAGACTCCCAGATCGACGAGCCTCTGGCCGCGTACTGCTGTTTGAGAGTGATGGACACCTCGCCGTGATGCTACTAGCAATCTCATACCCTGTCGGCTCGCAACGCCCCCGACCCATGTCCCCCCATTTCGACTTGTCGCCGCCTCGTCTCGTCTGACCTTCACCTTTTGGCTCTTCGCTTTCTTTTTTCTTCTCGTCCCATCCTTCTCTCTATCAGCTTCTCCTAGTCGCTCCTTGCATCCATCGGCGCCATTTGCGGTCCCATACACACACACGCACACACACGGCAGCGACCAACATCAACTGATAGCCAGGTCGACTATTATAGCTCCGGCCCTCTTGGCCCCAAAGCGCCGCCACCATCGCCCCGCCTGCTCTTTCCTTGCTCTCTAGTACTACTTGTCTATATACCCCATAGCTCAGGAGCTTCCCTCTTCTCAAGTACCGCCGCAGTCGCACAACACCCACTCTCTTTCAATCGCCACTCACTTGTTGCGCCATTGCCCTCACGCGCCAAAGAGCAATGCTGTCTATTTACTGCCGCTAAAAAGCTTACGACCAACTCTCTCTCCCTCTATCCCAGCTGCGATCAGCGCAGTTCGCTAGCACCTGCCCAGCACTAAGACGATACGAATACGAACAGCATCGACATCATGTTTTTCCGATCTCCCCGCAGATTTGCCATATTTTCCTTTGTAACGCTGCTCTTCATATGCGTCGTACTGCGCCAGAGCCCATGGGCCCAGGAAAAGGTGTACGAGAGGATACCGCTCTACAACCTGGAAAGACAACAATCAGAGCAAGAATTGTTGCACGAATCTCACGAACCCCAAGCCCCTCTTGAAGATGCATGGCAACATGCGCTTCCCATGCCTGGCGCAACCCCCAGCCCAGCAAAGGTCATTCCACCTCCCATGGAGTCTTCACGTGAGAAGGAGCCCGAGTCGAAGCCTGCCAAAGCTCACCCACCGTGGATGACTGCGCCGTCAAGAACTGGCAATTTTATTCCTCCTGCCCCGAAACCGACCAACATGAAGGAGTACGTTAAGAAGATGCTTAAATGGCCCCGACCAAGCTGGGATGGACATTGGCCCCCATTCAGCGACTACATCAACAAGGCGTATGATCCCAATCGTTGGGAGCATTTTGATATGTAAGTAGCGGTTTTTCTCTTGCATGTATGAAATAACTGGTTTTAACCTCTCGGCAGGGACTACCGCATTTACGAGGCAGGACATGACAAGCTCAACGAGACAGCCGCGGCTGATCCAGTAGCCTACAAGCCGTTCCCCAAGTACAACACTCCCGAATGGAAGAAGAAATGGCATGGCGAGCACGTGGCTTGTCTAGGTCCTCGGGGTATCCCACTAAACATTAGTACCGATGACGAAGTCCAAGTGTACCGTGGACTCCCTGAAGATTTTCCTCCAGTCTACGCAGGTGGTTATGATGTCATTGGCCTGGACGAGGATGTTTGCTTCGACCGCTACTCGCGATATGGCCCGTACGGATACGGCGACGACGAGTTCCCAGAGGTTGTCAAAGACTGGAAAGCGCCCAAGTTGGTACCTGAGTGGTCTGAGGTCAATTGGGGCGAGTTGCAGGCCGATTGCTTGAAGCGTAACAAGGAACGATACCGACCCGGTGCGAGATCCGAAATTGTAAAGATACCTAGTACCGCTTTGCCTGAGCCCGCTTCTGCTTCTGCAGCTTTTGCGATCCCAACAGATACCAGCAGGAGCAACCTCGAGGTTAGATATCAGCCGGAGAAGAAGTACCATCACCGCACCGCTGTTCTCATCCGTGCCTGGACCGGTTACAAGTACGAAGAGAACGACATCACTGCGATCCGCGCGATGGTGTCCGAGCTTTCTCTCCAGTCTGGTGGGGAATATCAGGTTTACCTTTATGTCCACGTCAAGGATAGGAATCTTCGAATTTTCGATGACCAGGATGAATACGACCGTGTACTTCGGGAGAATGTGCCTGAGGAACTCCAAGATATGGCAATCCTATGGTCAGAGTCTATTTTTCCACAGTGGTACCCGAAGGTTATGGATTGGCAGGTCTATTGGCAACAGTTCATGTGCCTGCAATGGTTCAGTCTTACCCACCCCGAATTCGACTACATCTGGAACTGGGAGACAGACGCAAGATACACCGGACACCACTATCACTTTTTTGAGAAGATTAGCGAGTTTGCCGACAAGCAGCCCAGGAAGCTTTTGTGGGAGCGCAACAAGAGATACTATCTCCCCAGCATCCACGGAGACTACCAGTCATTTGTTGAGAACACGCACAAGGACGTTTTGAACGCATCGGCCAATTCGCTCATTCCACCTCCAGTGTGGGGACCACGACCCTGGGCACGCGCTGATCCTCCACAAAAACCACTTGGACCCACACCACCCACAACAATGGAAGAAGATAACTTTGAGTGGGGTGTTGCCGAGCCTGCGGATTTCATCACTCTCCTCCCCATGTGGGACCCACGTAACACGACCTGGTCCTACAAGGATAAGATCTGGAACTACCTCCCGGGTATCAGGCCAATCTTCACTCCCGAAGACGGACAGGCAGATTGGTTCACGCACCCCGACTTTGAGCAAATCGACCGCCGAACATTCATCAACACTGTTGTACGATTCAGCAAGAAGATGCTCCAAGCCATGCACGAGGAAAACCTAGTCGGCCGCAGCATGCAGGCTGAGATGTGGCCCTCAACCGTGGCCCTTCAACACGGTCTCAAAGCTGTCTACGCCCCTCACCCCATCTTCACCGACCGTCACTGGCCCGCCGGCTACACAGAAGCCATTTTCGACACCGCCAACACCGTCGACCCGGACACGGGCGAAGCCCTCGAACCCCGCCAGGGCGCCTGGACCGAAGAAGCAGACTCCCCTTACAACCACGACCGTGAATACAACTTCCAAGGCTGGAGCTGGTACTACGCCTCCCGTTTCCCGCGCAACCTCTACCGCAGATGGCTCAACTGGCCCATGACCAAGCAGAATTGGGGCGAGGAAGAACAGATTGATGGTGGTCCAGGATCCGATGGCGTCCTCGAACAAAAGAGAATGTGCATGCCTGGTATCCTGTTACATCCCGTTAAGCGCATGACGAAAACTGATCCTAAGCCCTAAGATTGGTGGAGGATTGAAAATGGGAATGACGGAATTGATTAAGCGTGTATGGTGTTTTTCGTTTCTTGGGCTAGGTGTGTAAAGATCACTAGGGAGTTTTTTTGGTTTCCTTTTTTTGTCGATAAGAACAACGAATCTGTTGTCGATTTTTCCTTTCAAAACGTTTTTGGTATACCTCATTTTCTTTTCTTTTGTTACATGAGCAAAAGTGTGCAGTGTGCGACTTTTTGGTTTTTGCTGTGGCCATCTGACTGTGTTCAGATCTTCTTCGCCTTCTTCTTCTGTTATATACTTTCATCATCTTTTTCTTTTTCTTTTTCAAAACACTTTTGTTGTCTCGATTGACAATATTTTTTTGTTTGAGACAAAAATAGGCATTTAGCAGCGCTTTTCTCTTCTTTTGCGGGATGTTTGTAAGGTATGTAGTTGAAGTATGAGTGAGAATTGGGGCTCGCTTTGGCGTTCATTCATGTAAGGGGTGTAGCATACATAGGTTGTTTAGAGTATGATATCTATGGATTCTATTTCAAATTCTCTTGTTTATTTGAAATGTAATGTGAACTCTTTTTGCCTTGATGATACGACAAACTAAGTAAGCAATATGGGGGGGACAATCGAGGAACTGCTACTAATCAAGCCCTGCTCCTCCCTGTTCATCCATCTGTACTACAAGCACCACGACATACCTACTTCAACGAAAAGAAAAGAAAACGTGGAATCAAGTCTTCCCCACCTCCCAATTCGTTTCCCAGCCCAACTCAACGCTCCCCACAGCCCCCCCCCCCTCCCCATCCGCCCCAATACTACACAGCACTCAACAACCCTAGCCCCCCCTAACCCCACCCTCAACAACTACTCGATGCATCCCACATCCCCCCCCCACATCACCACCCCCACTCACCAACTACAACCGACGAAAAACCCGTACACACCTACACCTACACCTACACTATATTACTTGCTTTTCCGGTACGCATGTATGCACATATGCATATATGTATGTATGTATTGACTGACGTCACACCACAGGACTGTGAACCATGGTTCACTTGTGACAAAAGGGGGCGCTGCTAGTGCTACTGCTACTGCTACTGCTATTGCTGCTACTGCTACTGCTATTGCTGCTACTGCTACTGCTGCTACTATTGATTACTACTGCTGCTGCTAGGGACGCTACGGATGTTACTACGGATGCTACGGATAGGGGTAGGAGAAAGTAACATGCAACCATGCTGCTGGCACTAAGGATAGAACATGCAAGATGCAAGATGCAAGATGACATCGTACTGCGGTGTCGGACTATTGGATTCAGCAAGTTATGTGGAGAATCAGTTTGTGGGGGTAAGTCATGCAGGGAGGTTAAGCGGCTTTTTTGGGGGGGGGGGGGGTCTGGGTTGGATGGTGTGTTGGAAACGTGGGGGGGAAGTGGTGGGTAAGGGATTGGTCGTGTGGAGTGTTAGGTAGGAGTATTGCTTGGTTCGTTTTTTCTAGTAAGGTAAGTGTTACTGTGAACGAGGTTGGAAGGATGTTTGGTATTGCTTAGTGGGAACACTGACGTTCGTTCCCTGTACAATATCAAGTCACTGAAGAAAGCCGCATATACAACCGCCCCATAGACACAAAAACACACAAGGGATATATCACAGTTGCACAAGCAGGAAACAGAAGTAATTGATGAGTAATTTGAAATTAACATTATCTACTAGACTAACGTTACAGAGCTTACAATGAGTGACTGGTGGGTAAGATACAAAAGCGAGTGAGCGTAGTATAATAGGATAGAGAGGTAAAAAAGGGGCAGGTGGGCCATAAAAGAGCGTAGGTTTGACATCCAGGTTCTTGTTTTTGTTGTAAAGTTGTTGTTTGCCTCCCATTTCCTTCTTCACGTGAGCATTATTGAAACATGTTCGTAGTATTTTCCATCAAGCAGTCGGTATCCTTTCCTTACAAGACGATTTGCACGGTTTGCGCAATGCTGGGCACGCCTTGCTTGGAGATGACGAAGAGGAAGTAGGCACCGGGGATGAGGATACCGCTGTCGTTGGGGAGCGTGGCGGTGTAGCTGTTGCCGTTGACGCGTACGTTGTTCAGGGGGACACGACGCTGGTCGGTGTTGACGGAGTGGGTGACGCTGCCAATGCGGACAAGGGCAAGGTTTGCGTTTGTAGTGTCGGCGTCAACCTTCACGGTAAGCGTGCCTCCGACCTTGACACTCTGGGAGCTGAGCGATGTGATGGTAGGACGCTTGGCTGGGGAGCCATCCTGGTTGAAGAGGTAGGGTGGAGAGAAGATTTGACCGTCAGCGTGATCAACGAGCTTGTTGCAGTTAGCGGAGCTGCGTCCGATCTGGGAAACGTAGCAGAGACCACCACCGCCGCTAAAGACACGACCGTCAGCAAGTAGAATGCTGACAGAGTGGTAGTTGCGCGGTACGGCTTCTGGTGCTAGGACCCTCCAGGTCTTGGTCGCAGGGTTGAAAATCTCTGGGTACAGGGCACCGTCGTCGTCGGTGAATACCTTGGAGCGGCGTTGACCACCTGTGACAAGAATGCAACCATCAGGCAGAACAACGGCGTTAGAGAAACCACGAGGATAGGTCATATCGGCGACACGCTCAACCTTGGCCGGAGTGTTGGGTTCACCAATGGTCGTAATGTGGGCACGGGCATTGGCATCCGAGTTTGTGTAGTCGGGGGAACCACCGGCGCTGAAGATTTTTCCAGCAGTGGCATCGTACATGACAAAGATACCGCACATGGCATCATCAATAGGGTCTCTGATACCAGCAGCTACCTGAGAACCCTTGCCTGTTGTTCCGTACCAGTTCATGGCCTTGCTGGGTCCGGCTTGGAATACAGTCTTGTTCTTCCAGCCAAAGAGCCATGCGTGGTTGTCCTCACGCCAGATACCTTCGCGGTCCGTGGTAAGCATTGGACCAATCTTCGAATTGGGAAGAGCAGTCCATGTGTTAGTAGCAGGATCGTAGACTTCGCCGTCCTTGCCCGTGCGGGGGCCAGAGTACGCGCCTCCAATGGTGAAGATGCGGTTGTCAGATGTAGTACAGGATGATTGGTAGCCACGAGCCATTTTCCTAGGTGAGTTAGCACAGAGCCAGATGTTTTATTCAATAGTCACATACATGTCGGCAGAACGAACAAAGGTATTCGAAGCCGGGTTGTAGCTAGTAACGGCATTCGCATCAGAGCCTCCTTGGATTACAAGTCGTCCGTCTTGAAGACTGCTCATTGCAGGGCAGAACATATCGTGTTGTGTGTTGCTCACGGTGCGAGCCGAAACAGCTCCACTACAAAGGATGTCAGCGTACTTGATGTCTAGATCACAGATAGAACATACGTTTGATAGTTGTAGTCGGCAAACTGTGTACGTCCACCAGGGCCGCCAAAGGCATCAACACCCCAACTAGAGAATACAAGCAGCCTTTGCGAGACTGGGTACTCTGGAACAACATATGCAGCAACAGGAATCACTGGCAGGTGGATAAGATCAGACCACTCGCCGTTCTGTGCAGGGGCAGATGGCTCAATCAGACGCATGACATCGTAACGCTTGTCCGTGGACCAGATCAATGTTTTGGAACGCGCGTCAGCCTTGATATGGCAAGCCTTCTCGGCTTTGTCGTAGACTGCTGCCTTGCAGGTCGCCCAGTTGGCGCAGAGGTAAGCACATTTCTCGAAGTCTGCAACACCTCCCCACAACTTCTCAGTTGGTCCCCGAATATCAGTGCCCGGGCAAACTGTGTATCGTTTCTAGAACGCCTCTTCTTAGCATGTGATATTGCATCGCAATGTCTCACGTGAACTCACCTTGTTTCTTCCGTATGTCCATTCTCCTGCAGGGCAGCGGGCAATGTTAACTTGCTCAGCCTGAACTACTTGATAACGATCGCTGGCAACCCAATCCAAGCCCGCGATTTCCTTGAAGTGACAATCTTTCGTCCGCGTATCATAAACGGCTTTGAAGCAGTCCATGCTCTTGTCACAGAGCTTTGCACACTCTGTGACAGAAGCGACTTTGGGTGTCACTGAGACTGTAGGACCAGTGAGGTCGGTTCCCGGACATACTCGGTACCTAATCCCCTGGGTACCGGTAAAGACTGTGTCGGTGCCGGGGCACGCATTAAGAGCATTAGTAGATTGGAAAAGAGTGGCTGCAGAAAGCACTGCGAGAAGGGTTTGGGACAGCATCCTGGATGTCAACACAGAGTGCGGTGCCTGGGGACGTTTCCCAGGACAGGGCGCCAACCTGATATATAGCTGTGCCGATATCCCAACTACCGATTCAATACTTACTTCAACGCGCGCCGGGCCACACAAGTTTGCGAAAGTGGGTAGTGGCGAGACATGGGACGGAAGGGCTGTTGCCCTAGCATCGGAACAGGCAAAGTATGTACCAGGAAGAGCAATGTGCCTGAGTAGGGCTCCTTGCAGACGATCATTCACATACCGTTGTTTTGTTATGGTCGATAGCGCTAAGTGACTTTGGGGTAAAACTGTCAAGGGTTGATGCCATCGGTAGCGGGCCGAAAATCCAAACTCGGCTAGGGGCGATACTATTGTCGGTGCCATCGACCTCCCTAGAGTCATGCCGAATGCTGCGCCTCAGGAATCACACCAATCTTATCTACCATGAGAAGGCTAGCTCAGGCACCGAAACGATGCCGGCAGATGTTACTGGTTTATGCTATAGTTCCCATACGTTTATGGAACTACACTGGCGTAGCGGTGTTCGCATATCAATGCTACTGTGGCTGCAGTCGCCATACACTGCGCGAGACGCTGTCGTTATCGTCGTGAAGGTGTTAAGCGCTCGCAAAGGGAGGATTTTGTTTTCCTGCCAAGTTGCTTGAAACGCCAAGGCAACCCTCCAGTTAATCCCTGCGTACATCAGGGTGATGATGGCTACAAAGAGAATCTTTAGCCAGATACCCACCGCTGGAATATTGCCCCTGTCCCTTGAGGGTGAAGGATGTGCAGAACGCGCAATTGGATATATTATGTAGCCGCATACCCAGACCTATACGCTGCCAAGTAAGAACCGAGTCCACTCTGACTGACGCAGTTCATACTGTAACGGTCTATTGTGACGGAAGACTGACGAAAACACGAACAAGAAGCCGCATATTTGCTTCCGGGGTCGATTCCTGTGTGCGAGATGGAGGCTTGGTATTGTTCAGTCAATTGAAAACTGATTTACTGGATACGAGCCTTTAGGTCGTAGCGAGAACCAGTCCACCTGGTAGCTGGAATCTGTATGCCATCATAGATCAAGTAGTGTGCAACGCTCCCATGTTACTGGTAGCGCATCCTTGGCGCTGAGGTCTATTTCTTAGCCGAGTGATTTTTAGGAATAGAAATGCTTTGAATTTGCCGCAGTCAGGCCGGATCTGATCTCCTCGGTCAGCTTACTTGCAAATCTCTAGCAACGTATGGACCGGTAGGGTCTGGTCGCATCGATGGACGCCTTTGTTTCAATTGGATTGAGTCCCAGAACACCGTGTTCACCAATTTTGCTCAGGCACCGCCCCCCAATTTGGCGCTGGCCAGGCCCACTGCATGTTGTTGAAGCTGGTCGAAATTTGCGCAGGTGCCATCGAGAACGTTTCAGTCAGGCTGTAGCATGGGCCAGTGCTACCTAGGTCCATAAGCCCGGATGTATACGGAATACCACCCGATTCTACAGTCCCACAAGATTCCATCTCTCTTTCACTCATACGCGGTAATCTTTGGGTGACGTACTTGACAAGCAAGGGTGGTTCAGAATGTATGGATGCTGCTTTGCGCGCCTCCCATGCTTGGAGTACGAGCTCCGAGAACATTGCAAAGAAAGGATTTCTAGGCCTCGATTCCATAGGATTGTCCTTATTGTGGAGGCCCAAAAAGCGAATAGAGCAGTTGTCGCTCATGGCCTGCCAGGCCAAATCCGCGTGGTTTGACAGCGGCCGTCGTTTCAAATCTTGGATTAAGTGGACGTAAGCGGGGAAGGGAAAGTGTAGGTATATGATCCATCGGAAAGCTTTGGTCAGCGGGGAGCCCATCAGCATTGTATCGCATTCCAGCATCGCGCGAGCATGTGTAAGGCTGGCACCGTGTTGTTCGTCGGTCTCATTCTCGGGGTTCGGCGACCGCGTTGCCAAGTAGTGCGCAAACCGAGTTTTTGCAAAAAAGACACGCGTCCACCATATTGTCATAAAGTGCAGTGGGATCCGGGGATCACATTGCGAGAGGTATTTGCTCTCCAAGACAGACTCGAAAAGTGTAATGTCCTCCAATTCCGAGCAGGAACTAGACGGGGGCTTCTTCACAAGACTCTTCATGATTGGGTTGATGAAGTCTAGATGAGAAGGATTGTGCCGGATGAAGTCGCCAAGCTTGCAGCGCACTACGGCGAACAATGCTTCAGATATATTGCTAGACTCAGTAGGTGAAGTCTTCATTTCATTGCGCAGACTGAAATCGTTTACGTTATGGGGAGTGCGACAGTCCCACGTAGGTATGAGGGTAGCCATCTTGAAATCCGTCATCTCTGCGATGCGGCTGTCAAAAAGAACGAGGGACCACCACAACCGACGTCGCTGATAAAAGTCAGCATCAAGACATATATACGTATTTTTACATACCAGTTCGGCCTCAAGAACAGAATGTCTTGTATTTGTGGCCTCTGTATCAATGCCCATGCGCTGTGCAATACGAATTGCAGTACCTAGCAGAGACGACAACGAACGCGGGTCGACCTCGGGCTTGAGCGTAAACTAAAATCATCAGCTGACTACTAGATGGCAAGCCGCATCTTTCTGTAACTTACTAGGTAGAGATGAAGGGCAGTCAAGCACTCACGGTTGCTCGATTTTAGAAATCCGCAGTTGAGCAATGCTTCTCTGGCCCCCAACTGGTAGCCTCTGAGAACCTCGATTCTAGGCACACTGAACATGGTCTGACATTGATCTTGATCAAGACTAGAAACAGCCATGCAGTATATTGCAAACATGAGAGCCTCCAAGTTGGGTTCGATCTTGGTCACATCACCAGCAGCATCGATGATGCGTGCTTGGAGAGTAGGAGTGTGAGTAAGCTTCAAGATTGGATCTACATTTTCCAAGTATAGCTGCCAAAGCTTGAAGATTTGCGTCTGAGATGGATGGAGAGCCGAAAGCTCGAGTCCGACAGTTCGTGAGCAGAACAAGAGGTGTTCATTACGGTATAGTCCCTCAGCGAAGAGGTCATCCCATGCCTTGACGATTTTTTGTGGCTCGAGGACGCGGTCTACGGGGTCAGTTTCATCAGACTCATTGTCACTTTCCTGGCTTTCGCCGTCATATGGATACTGCAACTTTGCACTTGTCAGTGCAATCACTGGGGGTTTTTTTACAAGCTCACCTTGCGCACCATGGCACTCCAAAAACTCCTGGGCAAAATTAGTAATATAATAGTAGTTGATTCAGGGCGAGCCCACATACTTAGCTTGAGTGGACTCGGTCGCCAGGCTTGGGCGTGATAGCTCGGCAGTATTTTGGGTAGTACCTTTAGCTTGAGTGTCAACTACATGATTACCACCTATAGCATCTGGGCCGGAATAGCGGTTTGCCTGAGAGGCATGCAGCGGCTCGAAGGGAATATTGTGCTCTGTCAAGAGACGCTCATAGTGGCGAAGACGCTCCAACAATTCTCGCTCAGGAAATCTGCGGCGTCTCTGACGAGGAATGGTTGCAGCAGAGACGCATTGGACGCCTGCCTTCATACAGTTTGAGCATGGAGATTTGCGATCACATTTGACTTTGCGTTGAGCGCACAGAATGCATGAAAGAACCCGCTGTGGCTTGGCTGCGGGGGCGGATAGAGGTGGAGGTGGAGCAACAGCGACAGGCTCAGGCGTAGGAGAGTCGGATGACATTGTGTGACGAGCAAGCTAGCTTGGTGCCAAGACGGAGATGGAGATGGATGAGAGCCAAGAGCAGAGAGAGTTCATCGAAAGCTCATCAGGGGTCGGCGGCGGTGTTGAGCATCAGGCAACCACTCCGGTCTGCTAGACCCGAAGCTGCTTATCTCCGGCGCGCGGGTGTGCAGAAGACAGCCTACATGTACTTATCGACGGACGCCCATGACCAGCAACAGGCTAGCTAGACGCGCCATGGTGGTGATGGGGACCGTGTTTCTCAGCCACATCAGGTGGCGCATTATTGAGCAGTGGTACATGCGTATGTACATGCATACATAACATGTCTATTATACAAGAGTGTGGGCTTGATACGGCGGATAAACGGCACACTCGTCGTTAGCACCCAGGAGAGCAATACATTTTTACTCGCCTTTTTCTTCATGTGAGCAAATACATGTGTAGAGAGTGTTAAGTACATTGGCGTCAGCAATATTTACTTCCTGTATGGTGGAGTCCAAGGTATACCCTAGACCGGCAATAGCCGTTTGCTGTATCTTTGCATTGTTCTCCATCCCCGGGCATCCCCGCCATTATCACACCCCCCAGGACCCGACATCGGCCGAGATGTGGATAGCAGGGAGTAAGCCCTACACAATAAAATGAGATCAACCAGTGTTATGGTAGTATCATGCGGGAACGCAACCAGACCACCTCAACACTGAAATCGGGCCTTTAGCAGGCGCAATGGTGTTTACCGTACTATCCGACGCTGACATCAGGTCTCTTCTTTGCAACCTTGATCCGGCCGACGCAGAGAATCTCACCTCACAACTCAACCAGGCACTCTCACAATACTCGTGCAATGACGAGGCTCCCTACCAACCACACCGCGCCCAGGTTACGCGCCCAGATGGGCAGGTCAGCCTGTTCATGCCCGCCACCACACCTTCATCCATTGGTGTCAAGATTGTGGGTGTCGCCCCATCCCAGACTCCGCCTCCGGGCGAGAAGCCCAAGCCTGCGCTGAAGAGTGTCCTTACAATTTGCGACGAATTGGGCCAGGCCGTGGGTGTGCTGAATGCAGCAGAGCTGACTGCCTTCCGCACTGCCTTGGGAACTATGCTATTGTACCGATATAGGAAATCCACACAAAACATAGTAGTGTTCGGCGCGGGTAAGCAGGCCGAGTGGCATATTCGACTAGCGCTTCTACTCAAGAGCAACGACATCAGCAAGATTACCATCGTAAATCGATCTCGGGCCAGAGCAGACCAGTTGGTAGGGTCGTTGACAAGAGCGGGACTCAGCTCGCATATCCAGATCAAAGTCTTTGAGGGAGATGAAGAGCCGTTGAAGAGTCTCGTCAAGGAGTCGCACGTCATTTTCTGTACAACACCTAGCACTACACCTTTGTTCCCTGCTTCGTATCTGGCTTCGGAAGCGGACAAACCTCGTTTCATATCCGCCATTGGCTCCTACCGCCTCGACATGCAAGAGATTGATCCTGATCTTCTCAGCCAGATCACCAGTCCTTCTGGCCTCTTTGCCTCGCAAGTTCACAACGCGTGCATTGCTGTTGACAGCATCAAAGGATGCATGGATGAAGCTGGAGAGCTAGTCAAAGCAGACATTGCTACGGAACGAATGATAGAGGTAGGAAAGATAGATGGGTTAAGGCAAGACGATGGGGTCAAAAGGTGGCTAGAACAAGGGCTTGTGGTATACAAGAGTGTGGGCGTGGGGGTTATGGACATTGCAATTGGCAAGGCCCTGCTGGAGCTATCAGGGGAGAAAGGGGTAGGGGTACGCGTAGACAGCTTCTGAGAATGCCACACATGCAAAACAGCATTCCATGCATGCCGGGGAAAATATCGGGACTGCTGCCAGTGCCATAGTAATGGCAGTGTCCGTCTCTCCGACATGCGGGCGGGGCAGTCCAATGGCGTCGATTCAATTTTGCCCCGCTGAAATTTTTGGGAAGACTCTCACCCCGCCATGTGACGACGCGCCCGCCCTCGCTTTTGTCTTCGGACACCCCGCGATTCCCATTCTACACTTTCAATTAGGCGGTATACACGATGGCGTCGAACGAGGATCCATACCTCATTCTTCCAGGCTCCGCCGCCCACTCCGACTTCCGCCTGCAGCGCCTGGCGCAGGCAATCGGCGCAAAGGAGGTCCGCTCGCTGTGGCTGCATTTTGTCAATCCCCTCAAAGAATTGGCTGAGGACGAGCTCAAGACGCTGCAGCAAATTCTGCACTATGGTGAGTCTCCAGACTCGAACGACCGCCTTGCACAGACACTCCTCGATGCCGTTCACCGTGGCGGCGAGCCGCGTGATGGCGAGACGGTCCTCTTCTATGTCAGTCCACGCGCCGGCACAATCTCGCCATGGAGCTCTCTGGCCTCAATGATTGCACGCACATGCACCCTCGATCAGGCGGTAAAGCGCATCGAGCGCGGCATGGTCATCGCCGCCACGTTTGATCGCACCCTCGACGCTGACGAGATCCCCAACCGCGACCACCTCTACGACCGCATGACCCAGACCATCAGCCGCACTGCACCCAATCTCGAGGCTATTTTCGGCGAGGGAGAACCAGCGCAAGCGACCACCATCAGCTTCGACGAGTACCATAGCGCTCATGCCGCCCTGGACCATGCCAACAGAGAGCTAGGGCTGGCCATGGACAAGTCAGAGATCGACTACCTCGTCGAGGCATACACCCAGGAGCTGAAGCGAGGCCCCGTAGATGTCGAGCTCTTCATGTTTGCCCAAGTCAACTCGGAGCATTGCAGACATAAGCAGTTCAACGCCGACTTCACCATCGACGGTATGCGCAAGTCCATGTCGCTATTCGGAATGATCCGAAACACACATCAAAAGAACCCCCAGCACGTCGTCAGCGCATACAGCGACAATGCGGCAGTACTGCAAGGCGAAGAAGCGAGCTTCTGGGCGCCCAATGACCTTACCGGCGAGTGGAACGGCGCAAAGGAGACTGTGCACATTCTCTGCAAGGTCGAGACACACAACCACCCAACTGCAGTATCGCCATTTCCTGGAGCGGCCACCGGCTCTGGAGGCGAGATCAGAGATGAAGGAGCGGTTGGACGTGGCTCCAAGCCAAAGGCAGGTCTGGCAGGCTTCACTGTCTCTGATCTCAACCTGGAGGGTTTTGAAAGGCCATGGGAGCTCAAAAACGTTGGAAAGCCTGCGCACATTGCCAGCAGTCGCGACATTATGCTCGAGGCCCCCATCGGCAGTGCGCAATTCAACAACGAATTTGGTCGTCCATGCACTGTTGGCTACTTCCGCACTATGCTCATGCGCGTCTTCACAAACGAAAAGGAGTCCGAGATCCGAGGATACCACAAGCCCATCATGCTGGCAGGTGGTGTAGGCACAGTCAGGCCGCAGCACGCACTCAAGGACCCTGATGTCGTGCCAGCTGGCTCGCATCTCCTCGTCATTGGTGGTCCCGCCATGCTCATTGGTCTTGGTGGTGGTGCGGCTTCTAGTATCCAGTCTGGAGAAGGCAAGGTCGATCTTGATTTTGCTAGTGTGCAGAGAGGCAACCCTGAGGTGCAGAGGCGAGCACAGGAAGTCATCGACACATGTCGCTCCATGGGTGACAAGAACCCAATTCTCTTCATCCACGATGTGGGCGCAGGTGGTCTGTCCAATGCTCTCCCCGAGCTTGTTCATGACTCTGGTCTTGGCGCTATCTTTGAGCTGCGCGAAGTAGATAGTGCTGATAAGAGCATGAGCCCGCTACAGATTTGGTGCTGCGAGGCCCAAGAGCGATACGTACTAGCAGTTGCTCCTGATCAACTGGACCTCTTCAAGCGCATCTGCAACCGAGAACGCTGTGGTTATTCGGTCGTTGGTACAGCCACCAAAGAGCAACGCCTTGTCCTGAAGGACAGAGACTCCAAGGAAAATCCGACTCCCATCGATCTTCCCATGGCCACGCTGTTTGGAAAGCCACCCAAGATGTCGCGTATCGTCGAAAGCCGAAAGTTGAGACTGCCAGCCTTTGACAGCAGCCTGTCAATGTACATTCCCGATACGCCCAAAGATGGCTTGATCAGCGAAGCTGTCGACCGAGTGCTCACCCTACCAGCTGTAGGCTCAAAATCGTTCCTCATAACCATCGGAGACCGAACAGTTGGCGGCCTTACGGTCCGCGACCAGATGGTTGGCAAGTGGCAAACGCCTGTCGCCGACGTTTCGGTAACAGCTACATCGCTGCTGGCTGGAGTCAAGACGGGTGAAGCCATGACAATGGGTGAGAAGCCTACTCTAGCTCTCATTTCTCCCGCGGCATCCGCAAGGATGGCTGTAGCCGAGTCGCTCATGAACATTGCTGCAGCTAGTCTCTTCGATAGGCTTTCTAGGGTCAGGCTCTCAGCCAACTGGATGTCTGCTAGCAGTCACCCTGGTGAGGGTGCGGCTTTGTATGAGGCAGTGGAAGCCGTTGGAATGGATCTCTGCCCTAAGCTCGGCATTTCCATCCCAGTTGGGAAGGACTCTATGAGCATGAAGATGAAGTGGTCAGAGGACGGAGAGGCAAAGGAAGTTACCGCACCAATGTCCTTGGTGATCACGGCTTTCGCACCTGTTGACCGCATCGATCGCACATGGACACCTGCATTGGAACGCTTTGAGAGCGTTGGTGAGACTATTCTCATGTATGTTGACTTGGCGGCTGGCAGGAAACATCTTGGCGGTTCTGCTCTGGCTCAAACGTTTGGCCAGGTCGGCGATGAGGCGCCTGATGTCTATGACGCCGATGTCATCAAGGACTACTTTGATGCCATCGATCAACTTCACGAGGCTGGTATCGTACTCGCCTACCACGATAGATCAGATGGCGGTCTCTTCACGACACTTGTCGAGATGGCTTTTGCCGGACGATGTGGCCTTGAAATTATGCTGGACCATGTCGCGGCATCGAGCGATCCCAAGGACGTCTTGGAAGCGCTTTTCAATGAAGAACTTGGTGCTGTCTTCCAGGTCAGGAAGCGGGATGAGACTGCTTTCAACCGCTGCTTTGCCACCTGCGGACCGCCACCAGGCATGATCAAGAAGATAGGTCGAGTACCTGAGGCCTCGAAGCAGAATATCTCTTTCTATGTCGGTACAAAGAACGTCTACCGGAACAGTCGGCAACAACTACAACAGCGTTGGGCAGAGACTTCATACCGCATGCAGAAGCTCCGTGACAACCCTGTCTGTGCCGATGCAGAGTTCAACAGCATTCTCGACGACAGGGACCCGGGTCTTTCATACAACCTGACCTTCAAGCCTTCGGAGAACATTATGCCTCTCATGTCCAATTTGAAGTCGCCTTTTACGGCTAAGCCTCGTGTGGCCATCCTAAGAGAAGAGGGCGTGAACGGCCAAGCTGAGATGGCATTTGCTTTCCATCAAGCTGGCTTCTCGGCTATCGACGTACATATGACTGATATCATCTCGGGCCGTGTATCGCTGGCCGGTTTCGTAGGTCTTGCGGCATGTGGTGGTTTCTCGTATGGCGACGTACTCGGTGCTGGACAAGGATGGGCAAAATCTGTGCTCCTCCATCCCGAAACACGCAAGGAGTTCCAGGACTTCTTCACGCGCCCCAACACCTTCGCCCTCGGTGTCTGTAACGGCTGCCAATTCATGAGCAAGCTCAAGGAATTGATCCCAGGTGCAGAGCTATGGCCAAGCTTCGAGCGCAACGCATCTGAGCAATACGAGGCACGTGTCTGCATGGTCGAAGTGCTCGACCCCAAGGGCCCCAACACGCCACCATCCGTCTTCCTCCACGGCATGGCAGGTTCCAAGCTTCCCATCGTCACAGCCCACGGCGAAGGCCGCGCTCACTTCTCCACTTCGGCGTCTTCACCATCCACCCCTCAAACGCTGTACAACGAGAACCTCGTCTCTCTCCGTTACGTCGATAACTACGGCAAACAAACCGAAACGTACCCTTACAATCCCAATGGCTCGCCAATGGGCATCACCGGTATACGTAGCACCGACGGACGTGTGCTGGCGCTCATGCCGCACCCCGAGCGAACTATCTTGAAGGAAGTAGCTAGCTATCTCCCCAAGAACACAGAGGACTGGGGCGAACTCGGACCCTGGTCTCGCATGTTCAAGAGTGCTAGACGATGGGTCGGATAAGACAAGGGTAAAAGGGGTTCAATTGCATTAGTTATTGGTTGGCGTTTTGGGTATGCATTGTTCTTTGCATCTTTTCTTATGATATGTGAAAATGATATAGTCACGACTATGGTGGAAATTCTTGAGGTTATATCTTAACGGTTCGCGCAAAACAGAAAATATAGAATCTGATCACGTTGAGAAAAACTTAGGCTGCTGGTTTGAATATAGACCTTGTTTAAGAGTCTCGTGACTAGCTTCTTCTTGAGTTCTAGTCCAATGTTTGAGGTATCGTAAGCAGGAAAGGGATAAGACCAGATGGAATGAAGTTACAGACTGTGAAGGTCACTTTGAGAGGAAAAGTTGTTAAATAAGGAGAGTGATATTATTATGGCTTATGTGAAATATATACTAGGAAAACCTCAGTATCTAATCGAAATGCTCGTCGTGAATCCTGGTGAACGTTTTAGTAGCTGGTGTAAGAATCACCGCCGGTGGAACCACCAGCACCGGCTCCGGCTCCAGCACCGGCTCCAGCACCTCCCTTAGCACCACCGCCAACGGAGCCACCGACACCAGCACCAACTCCACCGTGGGCACCGCCGCCAACACCAGCACCGCCGCCAACAGAGCCACCGACACCAGCACC